ATTGGATTTGACTTGAATTCGAACTTGACTCTCCAATTCCTCAATCCGAGCCACTATAAAGTATCTAAACTAAAAAAGAGACAAACAAAGGAGAAATAACACAATACAGTTTCTGTATTGTGGTAACAGAAAACACTTTCATACATTTAGGTTTTATTGCAATTTTCATCAACACTTTTTGAAACGAAACATTTCTGAGGTGTAAAGTTAGTTAAAATAATAGTGGTGTCAAGGGAAAAAATATTTTGTTTTTGACACTCTATTGGGGGGGGGCACGAAGGTCCAAGATTGTTGTTTAACCCATGTATAGCAAGTTTGGTAATCTTTCATGTCAGCGGTATATAATAATCTGTCATTTTATATGTTTTATCATCATGAATATCATCATGGGCAATGGTGCCCATGGCATTGTGGGAGTGTTTCTTAGTTGAGGTGCTGAATTGGTTTGTGCAATATTTGTCTCGAAGCCAAATTGTTTCAGATAGCCAGGCTGCTTATGTAGGAATTGAGAAAATTAACAACATTGAGCCTGATCAGTGCCTAGATAGGTGACCGCCTAGAAATACCAAGTGCTGTTAGTTTGGATGTGCAGGTGGTGTAATGGATAACAACTTGGAATTGTTAATTGGAGAGCTGAGTTCCAATTCCAGTTTGGTTTGTTATATTTCCTTATGCTCAAATGCCCTTGGGATAGGTATGAATCTCCACCCCCAGCTGTGGGTTAATTAGTAAGACTTGTATTACTAAATCATTATTATTTCTTACAATATAAAATTCTTACAATCTAAAAAATATTTTCTGGCTTTAAATAACCTGCAAAAGGTTGATACACTGTAGAACACAGATTAATAAATCAATTTGGTGATGAATATGAAGGTACATCAATAAATCTGTAGTATGATGAAAAAAAAATTGTTTTGCAGAAGAAATATATATATATATATATATATATATATATACAAAGAAATAATCACACATAGAATTAATCAGAAGTATTAATGCGATTATTGGCGACATCCATCGCTAGAAAACATAATATATGCATTAAAATCCTGTTCATCCATAGTGCAAGTTTTGATCCTTGTCGAAAAACTTGTTGTCTGTAGTTTTTCAGTTTATTTGATGTTAAAATGCTAGTACTTACGGACGGTCTTCCATCCATCATCAGGCATGTGTTTTTTTCCTTATAAAATCAAAAACATGAGACGATATATCTGTATGTCGACCGAAAGATGTTTTTTGAATATCTGCTATTATTGACGGTTGTGTAAGATCTCGAAAATGCAAAGACATAACGCTAAGTTTTCAAAATTTTTAAGTGAGAATTTTATTTAAATATTTCTTGTGATGTGTTAAATCCACGTATTCTATTTTTACAAGTGTATTCAGTTTTTATGTGATGAACTAAGTATATAGTTCAATAATATAGTGTAATGTCTTAGTAGTAGTTTTTTTTATAGGAATTTTTTATGTACTACGGATCGATAGTTTTTAATAAACATAAAACATTAGGCAGCATATGATTTACATACAAAGTATATATCAGGCTATGGATTTATTTTCATATAATCTGTTTGAATGAAAGGCTCAGTAAGGCTGAACATTTGTTGGAATGCTAGTGACTCCTATCAAAATTATGTATATTTTGTATTTAACCCTTTAGTGTTCAACCTGTCCAAACTCACTTCATAAATATTGGGTCTCAATGTCAACCTGCCATACCATGCCCCATGTATACTCTGCCATCATTGAAAAATAACATAGTCACACAAATAGTGAAACTTTGACCACAAACATTGAGACGAGGTAGGTTTGAGCGTGTTGAATGCTAAAGTGTTATATTGAAGAAAAGCTTTGATATTTTTCATTACTTGCTGCTTTTACTAAAATTTATTGGCATACAACCACATCACATTGAAACCCTGGTTCCTGTACTAAACTTAAGCAACATTGAATCTGGTCAGTACCTTGATGGGTGACCACTTGGGAATACTAGCTGTTCTATGCTTGTGTGGTATAATGGATAATGGCTTGAAATTGTTAATCAAAGAGCCAAGTTCCAATTCCAGTTGGATTCGTTATATTCACTTATGCATAATTACCCTTGGGATAGGTATGAATCCACCTCTTCTCCCTCCCCTAGCTATGTGTTACTTGTGGTGACTTGTATCGCTAAATCCTTACCTCATAAAAAAAAAATTCTTACAATCGAAAAATATTTCCTGACTTTAAATATCCTGCAAATGGTTGATAAGCCATAGAAAGGGAATCAATCTGTCATTGGATTCAGAGTTTTTCTAAACTGGTTGCCGCCCAAGGCGGAAGAACTCACTTACTATTTAATCCACAGCTGAGGGAATATATAGATTCATCTACCAAGTGGGACTTGAACTCAGCTCTCCAAATTTTCACTTTGTGGTGTTATCCATTACATCACCCACACGCCCAACTGGTCAGCCTCACTATTCTTGTATTTTAGTAGTATTGTAAAGTAAAAGTTATGAATTGTTTATTCTGTGGTTGAAGTTGATAAGAGAGATCCGTTTATATAGAGTTTGCTACATCCCCGCCTTACAAAACATATTCAGTTTATTTATTATTCAGTCCATACTAATTTCAGTTGCCTATGCTTTATTTTAGATCTATGTTGTTTTTAGCAATATTATAAACACAATATTAAAAATTTGGCAGAGTCAAAATTATCAGTGCCCCAGAAAATTTTATTTATTTATTCATAAAATGTACAATATTTATATTACGTTATGATGTCAGAGTCTATCAGATTGTATATGTGAGTTGTAAATTTTTAAAAGAACTTAAGCTTGTCTTAATAAATATGTGCATTGTTCACTTCAAGCTGGGTACCAACAACAACCTGGTGAAGGTAAAAGATTTGTCTGTGGATTTAAAACAATGAATACTGAACACTTGCAATTCAGGAAAAAGTTTTGCAGCAGGAGTTAAGCAGTTTTCAGAACCCATATTGACAGTACAGGATGCCAAGGGAAAATATTGAGAGACAAAAACACCTGCACTTCTAAACTCTGTCTCAAATTATAAAGAAAGATTGTAAATACAATAAGAATACTGAAGCTGAAAGAGATTGTGATTTGTCAGACACTGGAGTAAATGCATTATGTCATATAGTAAGCAGTGTGCTCAATAAAGATATTCTCTGTATTTACTATCCAAGAAAGAAAAAAATTTTGTTTAAGTCATCATCACAAGGCTTGATTGGGATTTGAATATACCTATTTTGGGTGGAGGGAGATGTAGATTTTTGGAACTCAGTTTTATGGGGTCTTAAAACTGAATTGTTTGCTTGGAATCGGACACAATGAGAGTAGAGGAAAAGAGAAACTATGAACCTGAAAGACACCATCCCTCTTGTAAAAGATGGGCATGGCAATTTTTCACTTTGCGGATGTTTTAGTGGAAATAAGACTGTTTGTTTAAAATCATCAGAACCATGGAAAATGAAGAGTATTGTTGTATTAAAAGAAAGAGCTGAGGCCTGAGATAATGAATAAACTTTGTTGTCAACACCCATGGAATTTCCATGGGTCCAACTAATACATATAATAGCTTTAATTTGTCATTAAGGCTTTCATTAAATCCTGACAATCCTTCTTTTCAAATTAGCAATTCATTTACATTATACAAATAATAGCTCAATTTTGTCATTAATCCATTGACAGCCCTTTTTTATTATGTTTATATTTCTGAGATGAGGTATTATAATTATTTACACTATTTACATTGTTCAGACTGTTGTCCTCATCTTTGTTGCCATATTCATGACGTTTCAGAAATTGTATGCTCCGGCCTTCTTCAGGTGATTGGAATTTCAAAGTAGTCCCTGGATCCAACAAGTATTTTTATTCACTGGGCCATGTGCCCTTGAAGCCTTTATTGGATCCAGTGACTTGACTCAAATACCTGTCTACTGCAGCGTTGAATAAAAACTTGGAGAGTTGAGTCGAAGGGTGATAACTGAGACATTGAGAAGAGGTTTGGCATGTGGAACTGGAACAATCTACCCCTCTAGACAAAATAAAGGTTTCAGTTCACTTGAAGGTCGGAGTGTACAACAGCTTTTTTTTTTTTTTTTATTATTAGCAGTGCATTTCTATATAATAGCTTAAATCTATCAGTAACACTTGCATTAATTCCTGAACATAGATAATCCCTTTCTTAATGTTACTATTGCAATTTTCATTTATGTGAATGACTTATTATAGTAAACTTAATGTATCAATTTATTATAAGAAATTAAAAGGGATTAACAAAAAATAAATTTATGTATTCTAAGAATCTCTGATTACAGAAATATCAGTTTAACTGATTCAATTATGTTAGTTAATATGTAAAATTTGTATGAGTCCAAGACTCAAAAAGAGTAGGTAATTACAATTTTTTTTTTTTTTTTTGTACCCTTCTGATCATTGAACCACACTTATAGTTATTATTTTACTAAAGTTTTGTTTAAGATTTCTTACAGAACACATAAGTATTAAATAACTGGCTTTTTGAATTTATTATATTCAGTTTATACTTTAAATATTTTATACAGTTCATTATAAAATTATAGTTATACAGAAAGTTAACCATTATTAGTTAATCATTATTCATTATACAGTTCATACTTTAAATATTTTATTGAAATGTTCAAATATATTCAATTCTTGTATATGCTTTTGATATTTGTCATGTTATGTAATTGTTACATTCACTAGATATGTTGATATATGTGTTATTGGGGCATTAATTATAAGTAGAAACCTATGATTAATACCAAATTTTATAGGGGGTCAATAATGGGCTGATAAATTTTAACTTTCCAATTAATTTAGAAATTAGAGTAATTTTTTTTTATTTTTTTAAATTCTATTTTATTTTTGAAATTTAAAAATTTTTTTTATTCATCTGTAACTTTAGGATGTTTTTGTCTTATTCAGATCCCTGAAACTGCATTGGAAGGAGACTGTGGTCGTGAATCTATGCGTGTCAAAGAATTCACATTTGATTTCTCTTTCTGGTCTGCTGCCAAATCTGACACAAACTATGCCTGCCAAGAACATGTGAGTATTTTTATTTTTAGAAATTTATACACATACTTCTTAACTGCATTAAATAGGCACTATCTTTTTTCTTTTTTTTTTTATCGTTTTGCCCTAAGTAAGGTGATAATGCTACTAAAACCCATGGAGTTACTAGGAATGAAAGAGAATGAGAAGACTTCAGTGGGGAAAAAGGATGATTAAAACAACAGGATTCAGAAAGGCAGACAATGGCAATTGACATTGCATTTAAATTTTCAAAAATTGTAAATAGCAGGGGAGGGAGAAACCAGAATAGATTTCCACAGGTGAGAAGTGTAAGAAAAGAAACTATTAAAATAAAACTCACAGTTGCATTCAGCTATTTCAACAGTAAAACACTGAGACTTAATTGCCAATCAAGTAGTTCATGTGGTCAAAGTGAAAAGGAGACCCCATAAGAACAATTGCCATGAAAATATAGAATAGACAGAGGGAAACCACATCGTGGTGGTGGGAAAATGTTTATAAATAAATAAATAAATCAAAACTTGGACATAGTGGAATGGAGGCTTATATAAAGGGCTTGATGGAGGCTTATATAAAGAGCTTGATGGAGGATTATATAAAGCAAATAAGCCAGATATCATTATATCCAATCTGGAAAGAAGTGTGTTATGGAAAAAATTATGAAAAAAACCAGGAAGAGAAAAAGTTTAAAGAATAGATTTGGTGTCCAACTTCTTTTAAAAAATTTTTTTTAAAGAACATGGAGCACACTCAGGAATTTGTAGTGATTTTCCAAGCATAGCTTAAATGTGGTACAAGTCCAAAATTAAAGGGCACCCAGTGAGGATCGAACTCACTTCTCAGTCGTAATTGTTCTAGCGAGACAAGCTTGCTAACCATTACAGCACCTCGAGGTGCCCCACTCAGGAATTTGTAGTGTCAGGGTCTGACTCCAAATTCAATACAAGTACAGAGTCCCTTACCCCAAACTTTTGAGAACAGATTCTTTTTAGAATTTTAATTTTTTTTTCATTTTTTTCTTTTCTTTTTTTCTAAATTTCAGAATAGTAGTGTACAGTAGATAATTTAGTCCTTTAAGCAACCATCGCAGCTCTTTAATATTTTCATAATTTCCAGTCAAAAAAACTGCCAAAATATTCATGAGAAGCAGAAAGGCACACCTGAATCATATTATCCCTGGCTGGGTGGGTGAAGCCAAGGTAATTTTAAAATAACTTTAAGTGTATTCCACAAGGCTTGTTAGAGTGCAGCAGAAGTGAAATGCAAGCTTTCAGGTACAGATAACATTCAGTGGAAGACGGAATATTCATTTTGCAGTCAAAGTAGCTATATTTTTTAAATGTATCAGTTCTACTAGGCTTAAGTCTCCAGCTTATCTGTAAGTAATGAAAGGTATACAAATGGTAATATTAACTGTTTCCCTATAAGGAAACATTTGGCATCCCTTGACCAATCAGCCAGTACTGTTTTCAGTTGAAATTTATAAAATCTTTCTCCTAAAACAATTTTTTTTCAGGAAAGCCAGTTTCTCCAGTTCAGTAGCTATTATTTTTCTTTCCAGTATTGATGGGAGCTTTCTTGCTAATCTTTTTATTTGAAGTAGTACGGAACGTTAACATCTTTATTATGTCATTATTTTCTCTTCAAATTACATGTGCTATTCATTTAAGTTGTTGCTGCTGTTGATAGTCCTCAATTGATGTGGTTTCTGTTATTTGGTACTGTTCTTTGTTTGTGTTTCTGTAGCACCCATTAAAGTTTTGCTAACAATAAGTGGTCATCAAGGTCATTTTGAAAGACTATAACTAGTGTATTGAGTTTGATTGTTCATGGTAACAAACTTGCGCAATTCATTTAAGTTGATAGTCCTCAAGTGATGTGGTTTCTGTTATTTGGTACAGTTCTTTGTTTTTGATTATGTAACAGCAGTCCACAATGTTCAAAGAAGGATGACCATTGCCAAGAATCTCAAGCTTCATTCAGTCAAAGCCATTTTTTACCATTGATCTTAGAAAGTGATTATATGCAGCTGATGGTTTAGATATTTCTGAACAGGTTTTGTGCCATGCATGACATTCGTATGAAAGTTTCAATCTGACAAGACTATTTAAGGACATGACTTGAGTTTTCAGGTTGATGTTTTGGTTTTGTAGAAATTCATGGTGTTTGACAAAACTACCTGCAACACAGCCTATTCTATGTTCAGTTTCCATTTTTCCTATACTAAATTTGTCATAACTGATCCACATGCTGCTATATTTGAAAACTTTAGTATTTACTGATTCCACTTTCTGAATTTTTATGATGTATTCAAGGTATGTGCCATCTCTATTTTCATTCCAATTCATGGTTTTCATTTCGAAAAGGGTTATCTTGATTCCTGTTTCTTCAAACACTTGGTAGAGGATGTTGATTTTCTGTTCAAGATCATTCTTATCCCAACTATGAATATCTATGTCATCTGCACAGCGTTCTTCATCAGTACATTGACTCCAGGAGGGAAAGCAGACTCGTTATAGGTTATGTTTCATGATTGAGAGCTATGTATTACTTATTGACTATCTTCCATTGTAGTTAGTTTCACTCGGTGACAGCAGCATATTAGTAGATACATGAAGATTTATAAACATACAGTGGAACCCGTATATAAGAGAGATTTTCTCTGGTCCCAAATTAGTGCCTGTGTTAATATATATAAATAGACCAAACCCGGATATAAGAGACTTCTTCTCCGGTCCCGACAACTCTCTTATATCCGGGTTACACTGTATAAGGAAACGGTTGTTTATAGAAGTAAAGAACAAAATGTAGTTATGATTCCTTAAATTCTGTGGTTGAGTAATTCTTAGGGTCCAAGATATTTTTACTTTGCCATTAGAGTTTTTGTCTAGTGAGATTGAAACACGTCCCCCCCCCACTACAAGAATCTTACAGAAAAGCAAATGATTGACTCAAATAATCTTACCTTACCATATACACAGGATAACTTTGTTCAAATAAAGACAGCTTTTTCTATAGTTACTGGGGATTCATTTCTTTTGCACATTGTTGTAAACAAGCCATTTTCCATCACTCCTTTTAAAAAAAAAAATGATACAATTACAATTGGTCCAGGAGGTTTTTCTTTGTTTTTTTTTACTCATGTGGAAGCTACACATCAAAGGAACTAACATAACCAAGCTGTTTTGAATGATTTTCAACAGTTGATTTGGATATTTCACTCTGTTGAATATTGATTATTCTCAAGTAAACTGTCCTGATTTCATTATGATCAACCTCAGCTGCTTTATCTAACTGTGGAACATCATTCAGCAAGAAAATTTACAACCTACTTTAAAATATTTAATCATTAATAGTACTTTTTTTACAAATTGCACAAATCGGATTTTTTTTTTTTTTTTTGCAGTTCACTTTCCTTTTTCTTTTTCTTTTTTTTTTTTTTAAAATGAAAATAAATCATATGCTAAAAATGTAGCTTATTTTCTTTGATCTTCAGATTTAGAATCAATTAAAAATAATACACTTCTGTAACAAGCCATTGTCTGGACACCACATGTTTTATTTATGACATTTTTACTGCAATGTTTTGGCTGATTCATTCTTCAGCCTTTATCATCATCATGTTTTGTTTTTTTTAGTTTTTTGGTCTCTGAAGTAGGACTGGGATTAATCTCACACAAAACAAGGTTGATCCTACCTGACAGAGGATCTCAGCTTACCTCTCCACCCATCCTGTGTATGATGATAAACTACATCCAACAGCAAGGCCTCCGAAAGGCAGATTTTGAGGAGCATGGAACTATCTCTTAAATGCTGCTGTTCTCGGATCCACCCTGACCCAGGGTGGTAGTGCTGTTAGGAACCCAGCTATGGACAAATAGTGAATCCATAAAACTGGGTCAAAACATTGTGAAAGTATAAAAATACATTTTCAAAGTAATAAGTAAATGCCAGCAATAGATTTTTGCAAAAAACAATTACCAACAATAGATTTTCGAAAAATTACCCAAGCTCCCAAGAAAATTCAATTTCAGTATTAAATGACCCAGAATCATTACCTACCGGTAACTTGTAACTTTTGGTATGTCAGTATATGTGTAAAAAAAAGGTTTAATCTTTTTCTTGATAATCTTTTATTCACATAAATTTCTAACATAACTGAACATATTTTAACTTGTTTTATTTCATCCAGGTGTTCAAATCTCTTGGCTATGATGTCGTCAGTTCAGCCTATGATGGCTACAATGCGTGTGTATTTGCTTATGGCCAGACAGGATCTGGAAAAAGTTATACCATGATGGGTAATCCGGTAAGTTTGTAGAAACCTCTCTTACTTTTTTGTTTTATCTTGATTATTGAATTTTCATTTGTAATGATCTCACTGGATGCTTCAGAAAACTATTCTGAACACATGTACTTTTTGACTATTTTAACCTTTAGCATCCTGCATTAATCATAAGGATTAGTTCCCCTTCCTCTGCATTCTTTTTCAAGGCAGCTCAACTTCAGTAGCCACATTGATTTTACTCAGTGTTATTTTTAGTTGCCATAGCATGATATGACAGCACTATCATTTTGTGAACAGAATAATTGAGACTATCTCTACCATAGTGATAGTGGCATTTTCAAGGATAGTGAGATTTGAGAGCTGTCTCATAATCTAGAATGACCACTGGGTATCTGGTATTCAAATTCAGTAATAATAACTGTAAGAAGAAATTAAAAGTGAATTATCTTCATGGTTAAGATCCGCCATGCCTTGCACATTGTAGCAAATCACCCTCATTCCCTCTGTATTCCATTGGTGAAAATTAAGTTCCACTTGAGCAGCTTCTTCCTACGAACCACAGCTCTGTGGATCTGACTCCCAAGAGGAAGTTTTCCCAATAACTATAATCTTAACCTGTTCAAGTATAGGGTTAACTGTTATCTTTCCCACATAAATTGTCTCTTACTCTGTAGTCCTCTATATCAAGTGGCTCTCAGGCCTTGTACAGGGTGAACCTCACTGTAAAAAAAAAAAAAAAGCTACAGAGTAAAAGTGAATAATTTACTAATTTATTGTTTTTGTATTTCTAGGGTGATACTGGCCTTATCCCACGAATCTGTAAGGTAAGTTGTATTTTTTAAAGTCATATTCCCTTTGTATAAAAAGAATTTAATTGTCATGTATTAATGTCATGAGTAATTTCTAAAATGACCTTCCCTTGGAAAGTGACTGGATTTTTGCAGTGCAGCATGATTATTTTCGTAATATCCCTCACCTACAAAATGGTAAAAGTAATATTAGCCATTTCCCTACAAGGAAACATTTAGCATTCATTGACTGAGCAGCCAGTACTGCTTTTGGTTGAAATTTATAAAATCTTTCTCTGAAAACAATTTTTCAGGAAAATAGGTTTCTTAAGTTCAGTAGCTGTTATTGTTCTTTACAGTATTGATGGGGGGTGTTCCTTCCTAACCTTTTATTTGTAGTAGTGTGGAATATCAACATTTTGACTATGCCATTATTTTCTCATCGAGTTACATGTGCTATCCATTTCAGTTGTTGCTGCTGTTGAAAGTCCTTAAGTGATGTAGTTTCTGTTATTTTTGTTAGTGTTATGGCTCTTTCTAGTATTGATGGGGGTGTTCCTTCCTAACCGTTTATTTGTAGTAGTGTGGAATATCAACATCTTGACTATGTCATTATTTTCTCTTCAAATTACATTTGTTATCCATTTTAGTTGTTGTCATTGTTGGCAGTTCTCAAGTGAAGTGATTTCTGTTATTTGGTACTGTTATTGAACTAGTGTTATCTGTCAAATAATGGTCTTTTAATGTAAGGAATACACTTTTGTCATTGTGGCTAATGCCAGGTTTTGCCATTTTCTGTCACCTATACCTCAAGGATTATGAACACAAGATTTCTACCAATCATTCCACTTGAACAATGAGACTGTCCTGAAGAGTTGCAGGAGATTCCAAAATCATCTGGAGGCCATGGTTTTCTAAATCAATGGTGATTTTATTGAATCAAAATTTAAACAAAATTAACTTAAGAAAATGAAACTTACCAGAACTATGCATGGAATTTTATAGTATTTCAAAATATTTTTGTATAATTTTGATAAATATATCTTTATTATGTCAGTGTTATTTTCATTATTTATACATTGCACCCTGTTCTTTATATACCTACATATGTAGGTACTAGGGTCAGTTGGGCACCGTCTGTGAGGTGTTTCCTGTGTGTGTGTGTATATATATATATATATATATATATATATATATATGCACAAACTCCTCTAATCATTCTGATAAGAAAAGAATTCCTAATTTGTTTTTCCAAAAAATGTTTTTGCTTTATTTACTCATTTACATTGGTATTTCATGTTTAGTGATATTTTTTTTTTTTTTTTTTAAATGGGTTTTTAATGTTCCAACATTTTGAATGTTTCCAACATCTATTCTTCTTTACATGTTTTTTTTTTTTATTTAAATGGATTCATCAGTCAGTGTGCTGGTTGTTCAAAATAATTTCATTCTTAATTTTGAGCTATAAGTATGCTGATGCATGCTTTTTAAAAAATGTGAAAAGAAAATAAATCTTGGATGGTATTAAAAACACCCACCCATTTTGAAAAATCTGTAAGCTTGAAACAGCACTATAATCAGATAAATAAAAATTTCATTTTTTATGTGTTAAAAAATATTTTAAAAGAATTTAAAATAGGTCACACATTTATATGTAAGAAAAGAAATATACAAACGATATACATATACACACAATAATAAAGACATATAAAGCTTGTCCATGTAGATGGCTTGTTTTTTCCTAATTAGAAACATTTTATATTTCATTGTGTGAAATGAAACTTCTGATTTTCTTTTGATAGGAATTGTTTTCTCGTATGGTGGAAGGCAATGCAAGTTATCGTATTGAAGTCAGGTAAGATGAAATGTGTCCTCTAAAATTATGCACACATGTCTACTCAAGGTACGATCCTAAATTTTGGGGAACAAAGAAAGAAATGAACTCTCTTAAGGCCTAGTTATCTTCATATCATTCTATCTCTTATTTGCACACTGACTTTACAAAGGATAGTGACAAATTCACTTATGTACTAATACCTGTGGGAAAGGTATGAATCCTCTTCTACAACCAGCTATGGGTAAATAGCAGGACAGACCAGGTTCTATAGACTTAGGTGGCAACTTGTCTACCACAGAAAGAAATGGCAACATTCTACGGGAAAAAATCTGCCTCATCAGTCATGTATTGAAAGATGCATGACTGCCTAAGTGTGTATCATGCATGGCACATAACTGACTGATTATAGAAATAGTAAATGTATATGCTTCCTTTATATGTCATCCTTATATAATTTATATATTAATTTTATTATTATTTTATTTTTTGTAATATTTTATATTAAATTATAATATTTTATTTTATTAATATTTAAAATTAATATTATTTATTATTAATATATTAAATTAATTTATATAATAAATTATAATCTTTATATAATTTTCCTATATATATATATATATATATATATATATATATATATATAATCTCTTTCCTTTATATATCCTTCTCAGTTTTTATTCATCTTTTACAATCAAAACATCCAGCGAAGTAAAAGAGACGCTAACTTGATTGTGTTTTCTGCTAGTTTTAGAGTTGTTTTTCTATTTTTAGTATTTTAATATGGTGTAGATTAATGTAGAAATTTCAATTCTCAGTTGTAACAACCATTCCGAAGTGAAATTACTCTATTCGACCTCTAAAATATTACTGTTACATAATTGCATTTTTTTGTGTGGACTGTCTAGTAATATTATGTGGACCCCGGTTGAGAAGCACTGGTCTATATTATATTTGGTTCGTGTATGCTGTTCAAATTTCCAGATTTTTTGAGTAGCATATTGCGTGCATATTTAAAAGGGAATGCTGAAAAGTACCCAACCTGACCAAGAGACCCTTCCCTCCAAAAATATGCAGAACTTACTCAAATACATTTTAGGTTATTGTAAAGGCCTTTGACAAAATGCGACAACCTCTCCAGTTGGGAAATCATTGGAAGTGTTTTCTCGGTTATTATGTCCTTCCTAATGGTTAGGTCCCTAAAGATAATTGCTAATGGCCAGTCCTATAAGGCCCAAGTGATCACCACATACATTCCCCCAGGCTCAGTTCTTGGTCCAATTCTCTTTTTACTATACTTTGATCTTTTATGGATATCTATGCTGATGATATGACAGTATATGAGTGCACCTCCAAAATTTTAGGTAACCAGAGCCTGGCAGCTGATCTCTTCTCTGACCTAGCTCTGACAGCTCAGTGGTGGCAAAACTGACTAGTTACATTCAATGCCTTGAAAACCAAACTGTGCAATCTGAACAATTAATACGAAAGTATTTATAGAAAAAGCACAGGAAACCTATCTTACGGCAATGGAAAAGAGACTGCCAGACCAATAACATTGCAGATTCTTCTTTGGATCTTACCAAGAATCTCTAAATGTATAGCAGAAATACCAAATCAGATGTGGCAGAAATATTCAATGCAAGGACAACTAGTAGACTTATAAATATATAAGACAGATTCTAGTTAAAAAAAAAATTATCTAGTACAACAAACTTTCTTAGCTGCAGACTTAGCAATTGATTCAATATACTCTTTACACTTCTTGTCAGCTGAAAACGTTAGTCCAAGATGGTGCAATGGCTCACTCTCCTGGAAGTTAGCATCAGCCATGCTAATGGAAAGTAAAAAAAAGTTCTTGCAGATGATTAAAAGCAAGCAGTTTTGTTTTGGAGGCAAATTAAAAGGCCATGATTTGTTCTATTTAACAACAGATTGTAAGTTATTTTTTTATTCAGCTGCCAATTTGACCATATCAAACTGATTACTATTACGACAAGAGTAGATAGTTGTCATCAGCATAGATACCAAGTTGAGTGCTTAGTATTTACTAATTCCACATACTAAATTTTGATGATGGTTGTGTTTTAATTATAGTCAACTATGAAAGATGTAGTTGTTCTTTTTAAGGTTTGATTTTAAAAGACTAAACCAGGAGTTATCCATGATACCTCTGGAAAGTTAAGTTTTTGTTGTTAAAAATTAAAAGCAGTTTTTAAATTTCTTTTTTTTTTCTTGGGTTAATAACCAGTTTTGTTTTCTCACTCTTTGGCTTTTTTCTCTTTTATTTTACAGCTATTTGGAAATCTACAATGAAAAAGTACGTGACTTATTACAGAAATCACCTGGTGGTGGTAAGACGATGCACACACTTCGGGTTCGAGAACACCCAAAAGAAGGGCCTTATGTTCAAGGTAAGCAAGAAAGTAAAAATGAAGGAGTCTCTATAAATCAGAAACATTTTTTTTTTATATTGTAATGAAATGGTAAGCATTAAAATGAATGAACTGTTTTTATTTTGGCTTTAGCAAACTAATCTTGAAAGCTATTGAGAGTTCATTTTTCTTTTTCATTCTACACTCTTAATTTCTTTACATTAAAAATATATATCTGTTCTGTTTACTAAAGTTCATTTCTTTCTTTACTTTTTTCTAGATCTTTCAAAACATTTTGTAAGCAACTATGAGGATATCAAAGAATTAATGGACTGTGGAAACATAAATCGGTAAGCATTTCTACCTTTTCACTTATGCCATATTCTTCTGAGCTTAGGTTAACATTCTTTGACCATTAATTAAGCAGCATTGATCAGAAAATAAAACAGCAGCCTCTGACAAAATTTGAACTCAAATCTTGTATGTCTCAGAGTCCACCTAACATAAAAAAAAACATGGTAACCTGTCAGCAGGCAAAATTTTAATTTTATCAAACATTTATTTTCATCAAATTCTCTTCATATCATATTGTTTGTTTACTACCTAGTAGTAGTATTAGTTGAAGGGAACGTTTTTTTATGTCTATTTCTGATCTATATATTTATCTAATGTCTGTAGAATTCTAAAACAACCTGAGTGTTGTGACAAAAAGTAGCATAAAGGAAGATGGAAGAAAAACTAGACAAAATTAATAATGAAAATACTTCAAGAAATAAGGCAATATTGTACAACTTGTACACAAGGAGTTACTGGGAGTGAAAGAGAATAAGAAGACTTCAGTGAGGAAAAAGGACATTATTTACATTATTCAGACTATTGTCCGCATCTTTGTCGCTATGTTGATTACAATGTTTTGGTCGTTGTATGCTCCGGCCTTCTTCAGGTGGTTGGAATGTCGAACTTAACCCTTTATTTCACTCACTGGGGTAGACTGTTCTAGTTCCACATGCCATGTTTAATGGATATCAGTTATCTTGTTAATTTCCCTCTGAAAAGTCTCCACTGCCTTAACCGGGAATTGAACTCACACTTTTTGGGTCCTGTCACTGAATCTAACCAATGCCTTTATCCACTGTGCCATTTGTCCTTGAGATAAGATAGTAAGTGATTTTGCATTTGAATTTTCTGAAGATTGTAGGTTGCAGGGAAGCAAGAAATTTCTGAAAAGTGTGAGAAAAGAAATTCAAAATAGAACATGCATCTAAGTAGTTCAACCATAAAATGGTGGGACCTAGATACCCATCTAGTAGTATGCTTAAATTCATGCAGTCGAGCCACCAAGGAGGAAAGCTCATCAGAACAATTGCCATGCAAATCTCCATAGAAAAGACTCACATTGGTGAGAAAGTAACTAAAGTTGAGAACCCAGGATCTATTACATTATAGACTTTTCTTTGATTTTTATCAATCTTGAGATATATAGTTGGAACATCAGACCAGATAGGGCAGCAATATTCAATGCATGGAGAAATGGTAGATTTATACACGTGCAAGATGGATTCTGATGAGAAAAATACTGAATCAACTTTCCTAGCAGTAAACCTAGAAATTAATTCAATATAATCACTCCACTACATGTCTGTATAAAACATGATCCCAAGAAAGCATCAAGAATTGCTCTCCTGGAGGTTAGCATCAGCCATGCTGATGGCAGACAGAAAAAGTTCACAATGGGGATTAAATGAAAGCAGTTTTGTTTTGCATTTCTTACCTGCTAGTTGACCATTGATTGGAGGACCCTTTTTTTAAAAGCAGTTACCAGTTTTACTTTGTCAAACTTGTTGGGTTTGCTACTAAGACAGAATTAAATAGTTCCTAGTTGGGAACTGATAACATCAGGAAGATTGTTGAAGATAAGAAACCATATAGTTCCAAGGATAGTCTTGGGGGACTTCCACATTGATGTCAAATGATCTAGAAGCGTGGATGTTTAACACAAGCTTCATTACATGATTTGTTAGAAATGTTTGGATTAAGTCAAATATTTGTCCAGAGACACCGTAGCCCTTGAGCTTGTGGAGAAGGCCAGCATGCCATACCCTGTTGAACACCCTTTGAGATATCTAGGGCTACAACCCGAGCAACATTCTTATGTAAAGCTTGATAGATAAATTCATTAATGTCAGTTATCACATCAGAAGTAGACATGGAGAAACAGAAGCCATATTATTATTCAAAAGGAGAGATGCAAACAACTCAAGAATATTATGTCTACTACTACTATTGCTGCTAGTGCTCAAACAAAAATTAAGATGAGAGTAAAAAAATTTAATAACAATGCTGCCAATCCTTCATTTAAAAAATTTGAACAAGTCTATAAACAAGATTTTACACACCTTTGGACACGATATTACGTATTTATTTGATTGGTAATAAGTATATTTACCTGGCCTTCTTTTGTAACCTAGTGAAGGTTACTGAATAGAAAAATCTCACAAAGGTTGGTAATGAATGATAATACATAGGACAAGAACAACATATATAAGATTTGCCAGTGGTGCATAGAAGTAGTCAACTGCTAGAAGTGAATCAAATGAATTCCACAATGAATCTCCAACTGCAGACCAACATAGAGTATTTACTACTGTATTTATGTGAATGGGGACATACCCATTATCTTCCATAGGTATGCTACAATGCCTCCCCACCAAGGCTAGATATAACGGAAGGTTGTTTTAACTCAGTGAGCTCTATACACATACTTATGCATATGGGCCAAAGATAAAAACTAATTTTTGTCCAGCCTCTGCAACCACTTTCATGCTGTCATCAGTATTACACTGACCAACTACCCAAACTTTTTAGTGCAAAGAAGGTGCTGCTGGGTTGGAATCCCCAGGGCTGAGCAACTTCTCCCATCTAAAATGAGAAGAAACATTTGCAGCATAGGAGGGATAATCACACCTCAGTAAACCATCATTGGCAGTGTTCAAATCCTGTGCCAGGTAAATCTTACCTAATTTCTTTCATGGGATGCATTGTGGAGTAATGGATAGCGGCTCGGATTGAGGAATCAGAGAGCCAAGTTTGAATTCCAGTTGAATCCATTACATTCACTTACGTACTAATACCCTTGGGAAAGGTATGAATCCTCTTTTTCTACCTACACCCCCCCACACACCCCAGCTATAGGCAAATAGCTCGGTAGACCAGGTTCTATAGCCTTGGAGAGCAACTAGTCAACCGCAAAAAGAAATGGCAACCTACTGCTGGGAAAAAAATCTGCCTCGTCTGTCATGTATTAAAAGATACATGATCGCCTAAGCAAGTATCACACATGGCACATAACTGACTGAATTTCTTTCATGCTTTTAGTTACTGGTAAAATAAAAATTAGAAATGAACACTAAATTGATTTTTAATTTTAAGTCTTTTTAAACACAATGACTATATACGGTCTGTCCGGAAAGTATGCAGCCATTTAATATTAATGTAAAATTGCCTTAATCCTTTTCAAAGTTCTACTGTTAGGACCTCATGCATTTATCCTATAATCCTTTTCACTTTTCAAAAGTCTGTGGATAAACTGTTCAAAGTTCCATGTTTTTTTTTTTTTTGAGTTCTTTTTACCATCTCTGTCATTATCAGGAATTAAATGCTGAACTAACAATTATACAGACATTTAGTCAAAATTTGCTTTTGAGAATGCCATCAGCTACATCAATCCTCTTAATATCATCCACTGCTTACAGCCGCATCATGTTGAAACACTAGTTCCCGTATAATCACCAAAGTTAAGCAACATCGTACCTGGTCAGTATCGAGATGAGTGATTGCTGTAAGCTTGGATGTGTGGGTGGCATAGTGGATAATGACTCTGAATTGTTAATTGGAGAGTTGAGTTCCAATTCATGTTGGGTTCATTATATTCACTTACACACAAATACCCTTCAGAAAGGTATGAATTCACCTCTTCTCCCTCCAGCTATGGGTTAATTAGTTAGACTTGTATCATTAAACTATTATTATCTCTTAAACTCCCTTGCCACCACCAAAAAAATTCTTACACTCTAAAAATAATTTCTGGCTTTAAATAACCTCCAAAGGGTTGATAAACCATTTTTATTTTTGGGAAAAGCCAAAAGTTGCTGGTCACCAATGCTGAAGCTGACAGATGCAGTTAATGTGACTAAAAATCACCCTGTCAAAGACGTGAAGAATTTACCTTCTTAGTTATGTGACAGTGGTTAGAATGTTTGCATTTCAATCATAAGACCAGGCTCAAATCTCACCATGGTCTATATGTCATGGAAGTGACTTCTTGATAATATCAGCTCCTAGGAAAATGATCACATCATACAGCAATGTTAGTAAGTGCTGTGGGTTAACCCAAACCTTGTAAATGAAATTAGGTAGATGGAACTATTTGGGACCTGTCGATGGTTGTGCTAGCATGAAGTCACAAGTTATCATGACCAAAGGTTTCAGTGTATTGGTGATTATGCACTCTCTCCCCAAAACTTTACATCTTGGGTATGATGATAAACTACATCCAGCAGCAAGGCCTCTGATCAGGATCTTTTGAGGAGTGTGGAACCACCTCTTAATTGTTGTTATTTCCAGGTTTACCCTGACCCTGGGTGGTAGTACCTGTTAGGGTCCCAGCTATGGGCAAATAGTTAACCACCAAAGTGAGGTCAAAACACTATGAAAGTTTAAAAATGGACTTTTTATAGTAAAAATAGCAGCAACATATTTTTTGAAAAAATAATATTACCAGCAATACATTTTTGAAAAAAAAAAAAAAAAAATTATCAGTAATGTATTTTTGGAAAAAAAATACATTTGACTCTCGACAAAAAAACCCCTTTACAAAAATGCATCTATGAAACCTGATTTACACACTGATTTCTTACAAAAGATACATATTCTATTCATATGGACCTATCCTAAATATCTTGTCAGCATTAAATAACCCATTGAAGTGTTGATATGCTGTAAAACAAAATAAACTATAAATCAAAAACTTTAACTATGGTTTGCTTAGCAGGGTTACCTCTGTGGGTGTTGGGTAAATGCAGATGTGCCTGAACAAATATCTGCAACAGGGATAAGTGAGCCAGCCTAGCAGTCATATTCAGAAATGTGAGACCAGCTATTACTTACATCACTTGCTTGGCAAATGTGAACTTGACAGTCACACAGTTCAAAAGCTCACACAGTGGCATCTCACTGCTGAGAGAGTAACCACATTAGAGAGCACCTGTTTTACATATGTGCAGTAAAGCCCCTTCTGATTGGTTGCCAAGTTATATAAAGACCACACATCTGGTTTTCAAATTATTTAAAATGGCTTGATATTTCCCAGAGTGATTGTTTTAATAGTGTATGAAAACTCATGCTACTAAAAATTTTTTTTTTTTTTTTTTAGGACGACAGCAGCAACCAATATGAATGATGTGAGCAGTCGGTCTCATGCCATATTTACTATTCTTTTCACTCAGGTTCGTTATTAGCCTTTTCTTTTTTATTTTATATCTATTGTTCAAAATTCTACAGGTTCATTGTTTTCAGTCCTATTTTACAAGTATGTGGTATTTGCAAAATATGTTTTTTAAACATACACAACTTCCAGCAGGATCTGATAGTATTCAATTGATAACAAAAATCACCTACAATTCTCTGGTAAAGTATTTATCTACCAAAATGTGACCCTATATGTGAACCTATAGGGTATATCTCAGTGCTGGTTTATATTAACACGCCTGCTTGGGGTCACAGAGAGTTCTGGTTGGCTCTTGGCAGGAGATGGACATGTCTGCCGAGCAGTTCACCATTTCATATTGCCAGTCACTCCATTCAGATGAGTGGATGTATAACCCCATTTCATGCTGCCTACACCTGATCATGTAACCATGTTTAGCTGTCCAGTCCTCAGGATCTACTTTGTTCTGGTCAACACTGACACTGGTGCAAGCTGTCTGTTGGTCACTGGCTGCTTCGATCTACACCCACTCTTGTTGTGTTCTTATCTCATAGCAGTGAAAGATCGAATGTCATAGTAACTGAAGTGCTGGGTTGAGCCATGGCAGAAGCTATATTAAGCGAAGAAATATCTTCAAAACATAATTAAAATGAAAGAATCATTGGTTTAATCTTTAACTGGTTTATGTACTTCTTGGTATGATAAAAATTAACTCTTCCTGCATCACTCTCTATAGTGACACAGGGCCTCATCTAAAATTCTGGAGGCGCTGGATTCAAAGCTCTTCAGACTCAAGATCTGGTGACAGCTAACATGGATTCCAGAGGCACTGATTTGGAAATTCATTGCACAAGTCCTTGACCTCTCAAAGCTATCTGCTTATATGCACTTCGGCCTAAAACCAGCATAAGGCTGATAGGTTCTGGGGATTCGATGATTCCCAATTTTCATATTAATTCCAACAAGCCTTTTTTGTTCCCTATTTCTGCTTTCTTAATCAACTTTCCAATTATTATTATTCACCTTCCTTGGGAGTAATCATAGGAATTGCTCCTCCCCTCAATTCCAACTTGCTTCACTTTACATCTCATACCATCACTCCACACAGGTGTTGCTAAATTCTCCCTCTTCCTCCTTCACTCTCAGCATTCAACATCAGTCTACTTACCAGGGCAAGCATAACTGTCTTAGTGACAAATTTAATTTTTAAAGTATGTAGGTGAAAAGGTGGAGTTTTATTCTAGTCATTAATTTTAATTCTCTGGTTTCTTTTCTATTTCTCTGGAATTATCTTTCAGCAAGAATATAAACCAGATCACTTTTCTTGCCTGCCAATGACAGGACTTGTTTTTGTAACTTCCATCTTATCCTACATTTGACCCTTAAGAAGAGTTTGTTCTCATTTAAATTTCCCAATTCATTTTCATCAGCAAAAATATAACCCAGACCTATCCCTCTCGTTGTTAACAATCTTTATTTTCTTAAATTCTCAAGGAAGAGATAAAATTATTTCTCAATTTGTTTCATTGCATGCCAGATTCCTCAACAGAGAGAAAAATAAACTTTTGAGTACATTGTTCCAATTTATAGAGGCAAAAAAAATCCAAATGGTCACTTTTTCACTTCCCATCACCAGGGAAAATGTCTTCCACCCTCTCTCTCTCTCTCAGCTTATACTTCATATTAGGCTTAACCCCTTCATAGGTCCTTCAGATTATACTTAACATTAACCACTTCATGGCCTCAGTGTCACAGATGGGTGAGGAGTTGGTAGGGTAAAGAGCTGACAGCAGAAGTTATCCCAAGTAGCACTTATTTACCCACCCAGACAAGCAAGCAAAACCCTGAATAGAAGATCTACATAAAATATGGGAAAGAAGGTTCACATTTTTATTTCTTGACATGGCGTTTGTCTTTCATCATGTTACCTTGTGAGCGTGCAACAGGCCTTTCCCAGTTTTCACTGAACTCCGACATGGTTGAGAATTGAAATACAATGTGGGGGTAATCTTTGATCAGTTGGTGGAAAGCTTGGTATGAGGATTGTGTTGTATGTTTACAATTTATGCCAATACATTGCCTTAAATATGGCACATCACTTCTTGACAGCAATTCTGATAATACACCTCTGATACCTTTTCACTATGCATTACCTTGTGGATCATATGTACACCAAAAATAACTATTGTTTTGTTTTTTTTTTTTAAATTAAGTTTTACTAATTTCAACTTTAGCTAAATTTTTATTTATATATTCATTTTTTTAAAGATTTTTTTTATTCCAGTTTAGTAAGGACAGGAGATAGATTGAAGAAGTTAAAGGAAATTAAAAAAAATTCCATTTTTATATGACTAATGTGAAACATGTCTTACCAATATAGATTTGGTCAAAATAAATCTATCTTTCTGATGTTACTGTTTGATTAGCAGAATATGTCAAAAATAGAGTTTTCCCAATTATATATTTATCATATATGTATGTGTGAGTATATATGTATATACATACACACACAGCATTTTAATATATGTGGATAATGGTATTTAAACTTTTTTTTTTTTTTTTTTTTTCAGGCAAAATTTGTGAAGGACATGCCCAGTGAAATTCACAGCAAGATTCATTTGGTTGATTTAGCTGGAAGGTTCAGTTTACACTCCTTTTTGCTATATTTTTCTTTTCTTCAAATTAATCGACACAAAATGTCAGTTTTGATAGTATTTGTCTTAAAGAACATTTGCTGCCTAAATACACAGAAATATATTAATCAAGTTCACCCCATGCAAGGCAATAAATCCACTGAGACACAAGGGTTTACTGTGGGAGGAAGGGTTAGAAGCAGAAACCTTTCTAAGGAGCAAGAACAAAAGAAGAGTAATCAGGAGGACAGTAAATAGTGATTGACATTAAAATGCATTTAAATTTTTACAGATTAAAGTTGGCTGAAAAGCATGGCGTCGAAAGCGAGTTCCACAAGTGAGAAGTGTGAGAAAAGGAACTGTTAAAACTGTTAAAGCATTTGAGATGTCCAAAGCTACAGCCAGGGCTTTATGATTCTTATCTACAGCTTGACAGACTCTTTCTGCAATTATTGTCAGTACATCAGCAGTTGACCTGAATGAAAACCATATTGCTTGTCTGAAAAAAGGCTCTGCAATGTGAGATGTTTAACCAAGTCAACATTGATTAAGGCCTCTAGGAGTTTTCCAAAAAGCGGTAGAAGGCTGATCATTGGAAGGGTCAGATGGTTCACTAGAGTTATATATATATATATATATATATATATATATATATATAATATTATTAGTAGTAATCTTATAAGAAATTATACTCATTCGGAAAACTTTCGGTGTCTTGATTTGCAAATAATCAAACCAATACCAAAGGGAAAAAAGAGGTATAAAAAAAAGAAAGAGCCAAGCCAAGTACGTTAGCCCAAAATAATCATCTAGCATGCAAGTATAAAGCCCAAAGAAAAAAACCCGATACGAGTAAGCAAAATAACTAAATAAAGTGCTCAATACAGTAAGTAGAGCAGACCTAGTTAAACCTAGAGAGCCAGACAAACCTACCAAGGTTTCACCTAAGTGGTTTGTCAGCCTTCCCTGACAATCCACTTAGGTGAAACCTTGGTAGGTTTGTCTGGTTCTCTAGGTTTAACTAATATATATATATATATATATATGTGTGTGTGTATTTAGGCAACAATTAATTTAAACAAGTTTTATTAAATTAGACAACAAGGTCTACTGTATTTTTCAATTTTCAAATAAGTTGTTGCAAATCCTGATAAGAATTATCTGTTTGTTCTGTTTTTTATTTGAGTACTTATGACTTTTATTGGTCTTTATCAGGAACTAAATGTTGTTCATATTGTCAGCTCAACATTTAATTACTAATAATGTCAGAGATGGTCAAAAGCACTCCAACAAAAAACATTGAACTTCAAACAGTTTATCCAGTTTTAATCCAGATGTGCAAAACTTATTTAAGAGCAAAGCTGTTAATTTTAAAAGCCAACTCCCAAGCCATAAGATTTTCAAGTCTATGAATTTCATGTGTATTTGTGTTTCTCTGATTACTTAGGTTATTTTGAACTTCAGACCATCAGAAACAAATCTTAGAACATGGAATTCTTTTGGCAATAAAATATACTTGATAGTTATTTTAACACTTCCTGACTTAACCTTGTTGAAATGAAGCTCAACTGCAATATAAAGCTAGAATAAAATATCATCTGTAAATGAGATGAGGTTTTGATTTTTAATTTTTTTTTTTTATAGTGAGCGAGCAGATGCTACTGGAGCTACAGGACAACGTCTTAAGGAAGGTGCCAGTATCAATAAATCTCTTGTGACACTTGGCAATGTTATATCTGTCCTTGGTATGTATGTCTATATATTTATCTATGATTTTTAAAGCATAGACAATGAAAGACAGTCTTGAGAAGAGTCATTATCATTCCAAGAGTTGTTCAAATTATTGAGCTCATTCTTTGTGCTGCTTTGATTTTATCACATTTCAGCTGATCCATTCTAGAGTGTTTTTCAGGTGTACAGCCTACTTATCTAAGGAGCACTTTTTTCATAAAAAATTCTGCTGGATTTGAAAAAAAAGTTAAATTCTAGTCATTTTTACTTATTTTTATAGGTTCCATTGACTTGGAGCATTATTATGATGATGATCACACATGCAAACCCAAGGGTGCTGAAAAGTTCTCAGCCCATGCTAGTAGTCCTTCCAAACAAAATATCTTTTGGGAATTTATCACCACCCTTGTATATATGTGTGTATCTATATGTATTGTCACAAGTGTTTTTATGTTGATGTACATATTTTTAGCATTTTTTGGCAAAATCTTTTATTTATATAAATTATTTAGTCATCCAGTATTTTCCTTGGCTTTTCATTGATTTTCAGCTAAATTTTGTCTTCCATCATAAATGAATGGATCCAGTTTTGAGTCAATGAATTCTTTGAGAAGTCTTCAGATATCATGACCTTGTTGGAAAAACAAACTGGACAAGGAATGTTAGATGGTGGAAAATAATTCCAGCACTTTGCCATAAAGAATTCTTTTTGATTCCAACCAAACAGAAGAATTCCTTCTTCTTCAGCCTCAATAGATTGTTTAGGTTGAGATGTTGGAGACTATATTATATCTAAATATGATTTTCTTTATTTTCTAGTCATAAATCCATTTTTCGTCACCAATGACCCTTTATTGGGGGGGGGGATTTTGAACTAGAAGAGAAAGACATTGTAAAATAGTGGCTGATGTTTACTTCTCTAAGTTCATTTCAAATCTTTTTTTATTTATTTATTTATTTATTTTTTTTTTTTGAGACTTTTAAATGCTGTATTTAATATCCCACCCACGAGGAATATATGTGGAACAAGGCCAAGTTTAAAGTGGGTTTCTCCGAGCCCGTAGGCTCAGCCAAATATATACCCTTTGAACCCACCGAGACGGGTTCAGGGCCTGTCTACCTCCCCGGACGAAACCTTGCCCTTCGGCAAAGCTTCATCCGGGTTCCTCTCTGCTAACGCAGAGAGTTCGACAGACTTTTAAATGCTGTATTGCAATTGATTAATTTACTTTTAATATTTCTGCAAGTTTACATGTATCTTCCTTCAAATGTTTCCCAACTTCATGAGTTTTCATGTTCTGTGGTCCATGACAAAAGTTTCTGAGATTTCCCCGAAATAGAAACAAACAAAAATACTATCAGCTTTATCAATAAACAATATGAATTCCTTGTCATTTGTAAAAGGATGAGGATTTTATGTTTTGGACATTTAAAAATATTATTTTTGTTTTCTTAATGCCTTGCAAGACTGAACTTTTTTATTTTTATTTATTTATTTTTATTTTATTTTTTTTACCAGCGGAAATGCCCGAAAAACGAGGCAAAAATACCTTCATTCCTTATCGGGACTCTGTCCTGACTTGGTTACTCAAAGACAGTCTGGGAGGAAATGCTCGGACTATTATGGTGGCCAGTAAGTAAATCACTTAGACTTAATTTTAAATATCACAAATATTTATAGATCATTATGTTTTAATTCAAAGAAAAGGTATATTAGGAGTAAGTTTTCAGCACCCTTCTTTTTACTCTTCTTCTTCTTCATCACTTTACCATAGTCGTGATCATCGATCCAATGCAAATGATCCTTTCTTTAGCTGTATAGTATGTGTTACACCAGGGCTACATAGTTTTGAATTCAGAGTTATTTTCTCCTCAACCAGTTGCCACTCAAGGCTATAGAAACCAGTCTGCCCTGCTATTTACCTATATCTGGAGAGGGGAGTAGAAGAGGATTCATACCTTTCCCAAGGGTATTAGCATGTAAGTGAATATAATGGATTCGACTGGAATTCAAACTCAGCTCTCTGATTCCTCAATCCAAGCCGCTATCCATTACTCCACCGTGCTTCCAAGAGTAACAGAAAGTGTCCGCTCCCACAACTTCCTCATTATCTCAGGCAATTTCAATAATCCATAGAGGTTGATATGTTGCTAAACAAAATCAACCACACAACCAACTATTCAATCCCATCAGGGTCATGGGGGACGCCATGTGTACTGCAGCCACAGTAGAAGTGGTATTTCTTAGGCAAGATAGCCTGACAGAGCCCAACCCTCTCCAGGACAGTTTTGAATTCAGAGTTACTTTCTCCTAGACCGGTTTCCACCCAAGGCTATAGAACCCAGTCTGTCCTGCTATTTACCTATAGCTGGAGAGAAGAGGAGGATTCATACCTTTCCCAAGGGTGTTAGCACATAAGTGAATGTAATGAATTTGACTGAAATTCAAACTTGGCTCTCTGATTCCACAATCTGAGCCACTATCAATTATTCCACCATGCCTCCTCTTCTTACGGAAACTTGGATGTGCAGGTGGTGTAATGAATAATGGCTCGGGATGAGAAATCAGAAAGCCAAGTTCAAATTTCAGTCAAGTTTATTACATTCACTTATGCAGAAATACCCTTAGGTAAGGTATGAATTCATCTTTTCTCCCTCCTCCAGCTATGGGTTGAATAACAAGACAAACTGAGTCCTATAGCCTTGGTTGGCAACCATTCTATGGCAGAAAGAAACAGCAGCCTACTGTGGGGAAAATTTGTCTGCTTATTAATTAATCAAAAGAGACATGATCACCCAAGTGTATATAACATCTAGCGCTTAATTGACTGACTAAAAGAAATATAATTATTGACTCCACTATGGAGTAATTTTTATCAAGCTCATTTTGTAGACAATTGCCATTGTAGTGAATTCAGTACTCACTGGCAGCTTTGTACTGGATAGCAGATTAGTCATGTAAACGACTACCACTGGAATAATTTTGATCCTGATTGTCTGCTCCATGATCATAGCCTTATGCCAGACTAAGGTAAACTTGACAAATATTTTGGGTACTCAGCTGCAGAATATCCTTTGATAGGCTAATTTTGTCTCTTGGTTGAAAGGAAATGAATATGAAAAAATGCTGTTAACATTTCTATTTCATGTATTTTACAAAAATAAAACAGGATGTGTAGCAGCGTATAATAAGAAAATAAAAAAAATACATCTGCCAAAAGAAACTTTAAGATTTGTGTAATAGACACAGCACTCGATTTCATCTCTAAAAATAAAAATGTAATATTTTCTGACCCTCTATCAGTTATAGCAGCAATAAAATTAAAAAAAAAGAATTGCCTATTAGCGCTATGCTGAATCTCAAGCCAAATAGGAATTAAAGGAAATGACCAAGCAGACTCAATCACAAAGTTTGCCCAAAATTGAAACCTTTGATAATAGTTTTAGGATCCATTATATGAACCTGAAAAATGAAATCAACAGTTTCATTAAACATGAGTAGCAGAAGCCCTGGATTGACAACACAAATAACAAGCTTTGCATAATCAAACCAGTCCTGCTTGAATGGAGGCAGATGTCTAGATAGGAAAGAATGGCTGCAGTAATGTCAGCTCAGCTGCACATCGGCCACACATGCCTTACCTATTCATACTTGCTGAAGAATGATGATCAACCAGCATGTACAGCATGCTCAGTTGCACTCACAGTGAAACACATTTTAACTGAATGTACTCACTTAACACCTGTAAGACATAGATACTACAAGGTAACCAACACAATGAAACTATTTCAAAATACTGAAACCATCAATATAATGTGTTCTACCTTAAAGAAATAGGTTTATACCAAATTATAACACCTGCAACAGTTTATGTACAAATTATATATCTATAAAACATACATTTACCTTGAAAGTATAAATACTAAGTATGTACAAAATATTTGTAGTTGAATGTATACAATTGTATTCAAGACATAATTAGTTGAAGCCATAAAATTGTATTCAAAATATTTAGATATTTAGTGTTAAGGATTAGGTTGATATGCTGGTAAACAGGCCTTTTTCTAGTAGACCAGTTGCCACCCAAGGCTATAGAACCCAGTCTGTCCTGCTATTTACCTATAGCTGGGGAGAAGAGGAGGATTCATACCTTTCCCAAGGGTGTTAGCACATAAGTGAATGTAATGAATTTGACTGAAATTCAAACTTGGCTCTCTGATTCCACAATCTGAAACTTAAAACTAAATTCTAATTTCTTAGACAGGTATCTGTATTACCTGCACACTCACCAACTAATAGTTGATAACCAGTCAAGAGAATAAAGTTGATTTCTGCAAAGAATGCATTTGTCAATTGGAACCCATTTTCCAGTATATCAACCACTCAGTCATTCACTAGATTGCTATTCTTGTAAATCAATAACAAGTAAATGAGCAAGCAACTTGGTCTTAAGACAATATTTTTTTTTTTTACTCTATACTTACTGGGTTTGTTCTTGTAATTATAAAATTATAAATCACACTGGGGCTTATCACATTGAAACACCTGTTCTTGTACGATCATTGAAGTTAAGCAACAAGCTAGTCAGTATCTAGATTGGTCACCACTGAGAAATCACAGGTGCTGTAGCTTGGATATGCAGGTAATGGCTCAAAATTGTAAATCAGAGAGCTGAATTTCGATTCTATTTGGGTTCATTATATTCACTTACGTGCAAATAACTTTAGAAATAACTTTCTAAAAATATTTTCTGCCTTTAAATAACCTGCAAATGTTAATAAGTCATAAAAAAACAAACCAATCAAAACACATTGACAACAATTATTCGAACAGGGTTGGTTTAAGTTTGAGCAAAGAAAAGATGTTATTAAGGAGAGAGAACAATAAAAGAGTTGGAATTAAGAAAGCATTTAAATTTTTGAAGCTCAAACTGGAAACCCAAGAGACCAGAAAAGAGTTTCATAAGTGAGAAGTGCAAGAGAAGAAACTGTTAGCATAGAACTTATGATTATATCTAATAATTTCAACTGTAAAATGATGAGACCTAACTGCCAATCTAGTACTACACTTAAATTCATAAAGTCAAGGTACCTAAGGGGAAAGTTCATCAGAACAATTATCATGAAAATATTTATAGAAAAGACACAGGGAAGCTATGGCATGGGAAAGTGATTGAACGTGAGATGTCAGGGCCAATAACATTGCAGATTCTTCCTTGGATTTTATCAAGAATCTCTAAATACATAGCAGAAGCACTAGACCATATATGGCAGCAATATTCAATGCCTGGACTAATGTTATTTATTTTAATGTCCATGACAGACATGTACTTTTGGCTCTTACTCAAACAAAAGCAAAAATTATATTCTTATATTCTTCTTCAGCTGCCATAAAATGTTCTACCACCAGACAGTTGATAGATGATTGGAAGAGATTATATGACAATTACTGCTCAGGTATAGCAACAGTTAGTAGTTTCAATTAACTGACATACCAATGGTTATTATAAATAATACTTGGTCAATTTTGACTTTTAACATATTGGCGATAAAAAAAAATGAGAAAAATCCCATGTAAAATAATTTTTATATTTTTATATTATCTGATTTCTTTGTTTTTGTTTTGCCTTTAGCAATCTCTCCAGCAGATGTTAATTATGGAGAGACACTTAGCACCTTGCGATATGCCAATCGAGCCAAAAACATCATTAACAGACCCACTGTCAATGAGGTAGGTAAAATACCTTTGCTGTTTCCTTTATTTGGATTGCTGAATTGGTCTCTCTCTTCATAAGAATTGAGCGCTATGGTGGCTGGTGTAGCATTTATATATAACTTATATAATGCATTAAAAATTCCCTTTCTCTGCCATGCGCCTATAGCCTAGGGATAAGAGTCTCTGACTGATGTCAAATCGGTTGAGTTTCAACCTGGTTTGAAGTAATTGGATGTCTTGTCACACTGATGAGCTGTGATACAGTGAAACAGTCTGTCTGGAGATGACATACACACACATATATATATATATCATCACTTGATAAGACACAGAGTGTGTTGAAACAAAATGGCTATTTTTGTTGTGATTTTATAACATACTTATGTTATAATTTTTTTATAAAAAATAATTATATATATATATATATATATATATATATAGTTTTTTAATTATTTCACCCCAGGCAAGGAGTTACTGGGAGTGAAAAGAGAATAAAAAGTCTTTAGTGAGTAGAAGATAAGGACAATAAAACAATAGAATTCAAGAAAACACAACATGGCAATTGGTATTGCATTTAAATAAATTAAGAGTGTTGGTTGCAGGAAAGCAAGAAACTGGAAGAGAGTTCCACAGTTGAGAAGTGCAAGAAAAGAAACTATTAGAATAGAACAAATGTTTACATCTAGTTATTCCAACACTAAAACAGTGAGACCTAACTGCCAATCTAGTAGCACACTTAAATTCATGCAGTCAAGGCACAAAGGAGAAAAGCTCATTAGCACAGTTGCCATGAAAATACTTGTAGAAAAGACAGATGGGCGCCACATTGAGAAAGTGTCTGAAGCCAAAAATGGCAGGTCAAGATCATCACAGACCCTTCTTTGAATGTTGTCAGCACCAGACCAGATATGGCAGCAATATTCAATGCATAAATGAATGATAGATTTATAAATGTGCAAGATGGATTCTGATTTGTTCCTTATATAGAGGGTCTTCAGAGTTTGAAGCATTTGTTTATATTTTCTTGGTGGCGTATACTCGTGTTATCAACTGGTATTTTTCTGAATTGTGAAGGTGGACAGAAACTCATTTTTAAATATTGTTTGATAGAGCTTGTATCTGACATGTGTAGTGTAATCCATCTTCATAATGTTGTTGCTGTGAAACCAACATGTATATTTACTTTTTTGTCAGAGATACAATCTCCCAAAGGACATTTAAATTGATATACAATGTTGGTCTTCTGCCAAACACTAGTTGATGGAGAAGAGTTATTGCAAATAATTAAGTTGGTTGTATTAAATTTAGTGTAGCATATAATTAGTTTTATTTTCTTACTGGGATCAGTGGGGAAAATATATAATATATGCATGTGTAAGCAATCATCACAATTTTTACACCTTTCCATCCTGACCTGCTTTTTAATCTTTCACACATTATCTTTTGACAACAAGTGAAACTGTCTATTATCTCCATTTCTCCCACTTCCCTCTCTGTATGTACATGTATATTCTTCCTTTCACAAGGTTTTTTTTCATTTCCTTTCTTACATCTTACTTTTCCTTTTCCTCACTTTCTTTCCCTTGTCTCCTTTTGATTTCCACATCCTACTCACCTTCACTTACCCTCTTCTCTACCTCACTTTCCCTCTTCTCCTTCCTTGAATCCCACATCTTCCTCTCCTGTGCATTCCTTCCTCAATATCCTTTGTATTTCTTAACTTCCCCTCTCCTTTGCATTTTCCCTCTTCCTCTCCTTCGCATTCCCTTTCAATATCCTTTGTATTCCCCCTCTTCCTTGTGTTCCACCTTTTACCTTCCTTGCCATCTGCCCTTCTCTTTGTCTGTCTTACCTTCCGCCCTCCCCTTCACCTTTCTTGCCTTCTGTCCTCCTCGTCTGCCTCACTTTTCCTAATTCATTCGTATTTAATATTATGTAATTTTCACCATCAGAAAGACTAATTGATTCCAATACAGAAGAGTTGTATACTAGCTAGATAATACTCTCTGATCCTAGGTAAAAATAAATGTAACAGTTGTATGTACTAACAAGTAGAATAAAAATAGATTCTTGGTCAGAAATATAACAGATTCTAATAGAGACTAGTTGGACTAGATAGATGCTACACACTGAACCTATAGATATATATTAATAAAATGGAATGACAGGAAATATAAAGACAAAAGGGTTGTACATAAAAACAAGCATAATAATAATAATAATAATAATAATAATAATTCAAACAAATTAGAGCTATTAGCTGGGATAGTTGTTTTAAATTCATTTATTAAATTGTTTCTTTTGAAATTTTATTCATTTCAAAAATTTGCCTTTCAGGATCCAAACGTTCGTTTGATTCGTGAACTTCGGGCTGAGATTGTTCGTCTTCGTACTTTATTAGGAGGCAACATTGTGAGTACAGTTTTTTGTATTTTCTTTTTCAACACTTTGCAACAAATTGTACCCTTCCATTGCACTAAGAAGTTGTTTTCTACTTTTACTGATGCTAAAAAATAGACATGTTAACCTAAAAATTATTTTTTCACAAATTGCATTCAAAGAAAACAAAATCGTAAACCAAAACTCACTTTATATCCATGATTATTTATTAAAATTTGAATTTTAGTGATTGTTTAGAATTGTTTACAGACATTAATAAATTTATTTTATTTTGAATTTCAGGATAATATTTCTTCTCCTAAGGTTCAAGAAAAACTTCATGAAAATGAAGCTCGGGTAAGAATATCTTATCATTTATAAATACTATATATAAATATGTGTGATAAATAAATATTAATACAAAGAATATGTGGTTATCAACTGCAGCCTGGAAGTCACCAATTGTAATGCTTCCCCATGTCACCAGATAAAGATTTCCCATGGTCAGGTGACCCATGAGGATTGATATGCTTGTAAAACAAACCAAACCAAACCCAAGGTTGAGAGTGTAAAACTTGTGTAAAACTTTTCCTACTTTAAATTCTTCATGCACAAATTGGGTTCTTCACATCAGACAACCAAGGTTATAAATATGTACATTATCTTTTCTGATCAACTTGGATTATATCATTGAAAATCTTATAATTTATTAATATGATATAAACTATATTATTAATACTATGCAGAAAAAAAAAAAATATATATATATATATATATATATATGAAGATAGCTCACTGGTAGAAACTCTGATACCCAATCGGTATAAATATATATTATTAAAAAATATGTATTCATCACAGAAATTACCATGTTTCGGAACCTAAACCTTAAATTAAACTTAATTAAACTTTAATTTTAAGTTTAATTTAAGGTCATTTCTGTGTTGCGATGAATACATATTTTTAAATAATATTATGCTCTACTGTGTATCAAGTATTGATTTTTAAAATAAATACGAAAGAACTGTGGATTATAAATCTGTTCTTTCTTTTTATTTTATATATATAGCAATTACAAAGTTAGTGCAAAACCAGAAACACTGTTAGTCAATGGAAGTCTGAAAGAAGGGACATTTAAGTCAAGCAGTCTTTACAATAAAGTGCTTGATATCAGAGACAGCATTAATAGGATTAATACAAATATGAAATTTGTCACTTACCTGAATGATGTTATATCCAGCACTTATGCAGTAAATGTTCTTTAAGGCAAATATTATTAAAGCTGACAGGTATTTTGAGGTGATTAATTTTAATTAGCAACTTTACCAAATTACAAATGATCCTTCTCTGATAAGGAGGAAATTCCAGAAGAAATTGTTCAAAGTTCATTTTGGGAAGAAAAGTATAAGAAATATGGTCCAAGCTTTCAACTCTCTTAATTTATCATCAGGACAGGTAGAGACATTGGGAGAGTTTCATTGAACTGATAAGCATTGTGTCATAAGAGGTGTGAATTTTATTACTTCATTTGATGCTGTGCATGTGCTTGTTTTCATCTGTATTGTAACATGCCTACAGACGATAATGGGTATGCCCCCATTCACATAAATACAGTAGTATATACTGTATGTTGGTCTGCAGTTGGAGATTCATTGTGGAATTCACTTGACTCACTTCTAGCAGTTGGCTACTTCTTCTATGCAACACTGGCAAATCTTATATGTTGTTCTTGTCCTAAGTATTATTGTTCATTACCAACCTTTGTTTGATTATTCTATTCAGTAACCTTTTACCAGTTACAATAATATGCATTGTATGTTTGCATTTGGTGTACCTGAGAACTGCTGTCCAATTCCATTATGTTGCACAGTGACAGGAAGAATAAATGAACAGTCATAAAGCACTTATAACACTATATAAAGAGGTGGTGAAAAGTTTTTGACTGTATACATTTCCCAATAATAATCATGTTTTTTTTTTTTAATTTTCTTGGTTTGACCCAGAATTTCTCACCATCTTGTATTGCTCTAAAATACATGATGGATAGAAAATTTATTCTTCTTACTATAGCTGCTATCCTCTACCTTTTCCGTTCCATTAGATGTTCGACTTTTAATTAATGATTTTTTTTCTTCAGCCTGGGTTCTTCAAACTTGTCCCAATTGTTGAAGGCTATCAATTATTAATTCTTTTTTTTTCCATAACGTAAAGTTCTTTATACCTCGTCGCCATTGTTGAAACTTGGATAAGCATGGAATAATAATAATAATACAACACAAAATGTACGTTAACAAAATGTATTGAAACAAGGAAAAGGTACACAATATTTACAGTTAGTTTTGGTATATTCTTGGGAAGACTGTTCCTGCAGAATGGGTTGACTAAATCGCAGTCAGGCAGAGTCTCTCGATACAATCTCTTCTTACTTTCCCCCGTCTTCCCGGTACCAACCCATATTTATATGGTCGGTACTCCACTTATGTAAATTAGGTGGATCGTACCACAACAGATAGAAAATTTATTCTTCTTACTATAGCTGCTATCCTCTACCTTTACACAAGCCAGATTAGGCAAAAATGGGGTACTGCTGCCCAATCTTCACTTTTCACTTTCAATAGAATCCAAAAAAGCATCTTCATCTACTTGTAGGGGACAAATTATTTCCACACTACAACACCTTTCTCACAGACTAGACATCACAAGCCTCTTGTTACTCTATTGCTATTTCCATGCAGAGTGTACAGATAAACTACACTTCACCATTCTTCCACCAATCTTAACCTTCATGGCTAAAACCCACCATACTATGCATATTGTAGTGAACCACCCTCATTCAATTCATATTCCATTGGTGTAAGTTCCACTCAGGCAGTTTCTTCTCCTTGTAGAACTGACTTCCAAGAAGTTGCTTCCTTGATTACTACAATCTTAACCTGTTCAAGTCTACAGTTAATCTGTTAATCTTCCATACATATCCACATAAGCTGTACCTTTTACTCTGTAACCCTCTACCTTGAATGACACTTGGGCCTTGTACAATATGAACATCATGGTAAAAAAAAAAAAAAATCTTAGTAACCAGAATTTTTTTTTCCTTTTTTCTCATTAAGTCCTTTTTATTTAAAGGAAGCATTTTATGACTTCTTTTTGGCATATCTGAATTAATTACCAGCATCACTTTTCTTGTGCTTTGTTACCATTACTAAAAAAAACTTAGGATTTCTTTATTTCTGAAATTGATCACATGAAGTTAAGCAATATCAAACCTGGTCAGTACCTAGATGGGCAACTGCTTAATGGACAACGGCTCAGAATTGTTAATTGGAGGGTGGAGTTCCAATTCCTATTAGGTTTGTTATATTCACTTATGCAAATACATTTGGGAAAGGTATGAATCCACCTCTTCTCCCCTCAGCTATGGGCTAATTAGAGAGACTTGTATCACTAAAACATTATTATCTGCCCCTCCCTTAAATTCTTACAACCTAAGAATATTTTCTGACCTTAAATAACCTAAAAATGGTTGATAAGCCATAAAAAATGAATGAATGAATCAATCAATCAATCAGTCAGTCAAACTGACCACAAGTAACTGAAACTGTAGATGAGAATGCCCCCCACACACACACACACACACAATTTTATTCCTATTGATTCTCTTAATTGGATGATGGGAGTTCATTTGTTTGTAAAGTGGTTGTTGTACAGAGAAAGCTATTAATGATGTTATTATTTTAGCAAAACCAGTCAGTCTCCAAAATAATTCAAATAATTTCAAAACAAGTTTTGTATTAATTTTTATAAAGATTTTTTTTTAACACTGATTTTATGTTTACAGCCATATCACATTGAAACATCAATTATCAGAGTTAGCAACATTCAATCTGGTCAGTACTTAGATGGGTGACCGGATGACCTCTTGGGAATACCAGGTGCTGTAAGCTTAGATGTGCAGCGGGTGTAATGGATAATGGCTCGGAATTGTTAATCAGAGAGCCGAGTTCCAATTCCAGTCAGGTTTGTTATATTCACTTATGTGCAAATACCCTTGGGAAAGGTATGAATTCACCTCTTCTCCTCCAAGCTATGGGTCAATAGTAAGACTTATATCAAAAAATTATTATTATTTAAAAAAAAAATCTTAAATCCCAAAAATATATTTTGGCTTTAAATAACCAAAAGATTGATAAACTATAAAAAAACAAATCAGTCAGTAAACAACACTGATTTTATAGCAATAAATATAAATTGTGCCAATTTTTGTATCCTTTGCTGATTATTGTCATTTAAAGGACTATAATAAAGTTTATTTTCTAAATTAAATGCAATAAGAGACGAACAACAAGAACAACAATTTTGTTTTTAATCATTCGTCCCTAAGCTTGTCAATAAATCTAAGACACAAGGAGTTACTGAGTGTCAAAGAATATGAGAAAAAAAAACACTATTAAGAAGAGAGAGAACAATAAAAGAACAAGAATTAATAAGACAGTAGATAATGATTAACATTGCATTTAAATTAGAAATTTACGGTTCCATTTAGCCATTTCAACTGTAAAATGATGAGACCTTGCCATCAATCTAGTATTGTGTTTAAATTCATTAAGTTTAGGTACCATAGAGGAAAGTTTATCAGAACAATTACCATGAAAGTTTTCATAGAAAAGGCACAGGGAAGCTACATTACGGTGGTGTGAAAGTGACTAAAGGCAAAATGTCAGGTCAGGACCAATAACATTGCAGATTCTTATTTGGATTTTATCAAGAATCTCTAAATATATAGCAGGAGCATCAGACTAGATATGGCAGCAGTATTCAAAGCTAAGAAGAATAGTAGACTAATAAATATGTAAGATAGATTTTGGCAAGAAAAATTGTCTCACATGAACCAACTTTCTTAGAAGCAGACCTAGCAATTGATTTGATGTAATCTTTTCACTTCATGTCAGCAGAAAATGTTAACCCAAGAAGGTACAATGAATTACTCTCCTGAAGGTTAGCATCAGTCATCAGGAAGTTAAAAAGAGTTCTCTCAGATGATTAAAAGATAGCAGCTTCAATTTGGAGACATTAACAGGCCATTTCTTGCCTTATTTAACAACAGATTATAGGTCTTTCTCTTTTCTTTTTCTTTAGATCAACTGCCAATTTGACCTTATCAAACCACTCAAACTTACTATTAAGACAGGAATAAATGGTAGTGTCATCAGCATAGATACTGAGTCGAGAACTGATAACATCAGGAAGGTCGGTGATCCAAGTATAGAGCCTTGGTGCAGGCCACCTGCATTAATGCTATAAATCTAGAAGAGTGACCATTCAAGACAACCTTCATTTCCTGATTTGATAAGAAAGACTGACTCAGTTCAAAAATTTGTAACAATATAAAAGGAGGAGATGAAAAGATCATAGTAATTGGTTCCATCTGTATCTTCATCATTGTTTTTAATCTGGCTTTTAGTTGAGGTGTTCTTTGAGCTTCCTCAGGGGAATTTTCAATAGTTTTCTATAGCTGAAATGTGCCGCCAGCAGTTTGTCTATGGGAGACCATCATGATAGTGTAAGGTTTGAATTACCTATTTAAGGAACACACATCTCTTGTTGGGACTTCTATAAATATCTCTCTTCTAGCTTCGTTTTCTTTCCCAAAATGTAAACTAATTAAGAAATAATGTAGGATTTAAAAAATCCATTCAAGAATTACTATTATTTACGTTTCAGGTACAAATCTGAAACTAACAGATATAGTAGTTGTCCCAGTGAGTGATGCGCATTCCTTAAACAGGTAATCCAATAGTCTTTCAAAGCTGTTTAGTAGTCAATTTTTTATCTCTCCTGAAAGGTCATCCACTAACTTTGGCACTCAATTTCTGATCTCTTTTCTTAGTAATTTTTTTTTTTACAGTAAGGTTCACTAAGTACAAGACCCAGGGGCTTGTCGAGGTAAAGGGATACAGAGGCAGTTTATGCATATAGGAGGGCAAGATAAGTTAAGTCGAGACTTGAACAGGTTAAGATTCTAGTGATTAGAGAAACATCCTCTTGGGAGTTGGTCCCACAGAGTAGTGCTTCATGAGAAGATGCTGTTCAAGTGGAAATTACTTCTCACCAATGGAATATGGAGAGAATGAGGGTGGTTTGTTACAATGTGCATAGTATGGTGGGTCCTAGCTGTGAAGGTTAGTACTGGCAGAACCAAGAAATGCAGTTTGTCTGATCACTTTCCATGGAAGTAGTGAAAGAGAATTGAGTGGCTTTCCAAATCCCATCTGTGAGAGAGTGGAAAGTAGAAAATAATTTGTCATCCACAAGGACTCTGAGACACTTTTTGTAGAGTAGTTTTCACAGTGGAGGCTTGTATTTCACTGAGTCAGTCCTAAAAAAGGTTCGACGTACAAAACGTTAGGTACTTGAAATAATAGTTTATGATGCAGCAATCTAGTTGTGGTGGTTGATACTTTAATGTCCGACATCGACTGACTCACCAACTCACTCTGAGCCCACTGGCGACTGCTGCTACTACTACTACTACTTATTATATCTGGGAGAGTCTATTTACAATAGAATAGGTATGTTCTAGTATAACACTTTTGAACTCTTTTGAGAGTGGAAAGGCTCCTGCCCAAATATGACAACAGTACTTCATTTTAGGCCTGATCTGGTTGTTGTAAAGGTAGAGGATTGTGTTGGATATCAGTTAAAGAAAGACCTTTGACCTTACTTCCGCTGCATCAGTATGTGAATGGAAATTGAAACTGGTGATAGCATAAACAGGAAATGTATCTGGTAGCTAAAATAAACAGGACACACGGGGGTCCTGAGCCTTGAGTAAACAAGATGCACTGGTGTCCAGAGTGGGAGACAATATGCATGCTTGAGAAGTTGCGTGGGCACATGACAGAAGTTGCATAAGTGACATACTGGAAGAAGACCTAGCCTTCTGATGTTGTTTGTGTGTCCAAATGTTATAAAACTGGTCCAATTCTTGGTCTGGACAGAGAGGCTGGCTAGAGGTTCTCCAGTTTTGTCTCCGTCAATTCCTGTGTGCGCAATCCTAACTTCAGGGGTGATTTTAAGTGGAATTCGTACATATGATCCATAGGGAAAAAAAAAAAAGAAAAATACAAAGCAATTTCTAAATACTACCAAATGTAACACACGCTTGACAAAAGCTGAAGAATATACCATCTAAAATATATTAAAAACAACAAAGATAAAGATGCTAATCCACAAATGGTGACATTGATTTTGTTTTTTGAACTCAGTTTGATCAAAGAAATTTGCCAGTGCCCAGTTCACTAAATTTTCATGTCACTGTATATTTTGTTTTTATTAACCTAGTATGACATTTAATGTAAAAGTAAAGTCTCATTGACATTGTACTTATTACGTTATTATTCCAGTTGATTATAGTCAGTAATTTTACTTTGTGACTTGCAGGTGAAAGTATTGACTGATGAATGGACAGGAAAGTGGAAAGAAGCCGCCTGCATCCTGGAGGTTAGTAAATTTAACCCTATTCACTTTTCTTTTCTTTTTTTTTTTTGTTAATTTAAAAGGTTTCTTTTTTTTTTACAAAAAATATTCACAGCATATATATATATATATATATATATATATATAATGCCATCCACAGACAGGCTGTTTCACTGTATCACAGCTCTTCAGTGTGGCTAGACATCTGGTTGCCTCTAGCTGGGATCAAAACCCAACTGAATTGGTGTCAGTCGGAGATTCTACCACTAAGCCGTCGGCGCAGAGCAGGGATGAAGGTGAATTTAAGCATATTTATTTTTAGATAAACACACAGTGACCGACCAGACTCAATTTGCTTTACCGAAGAGTCTTGCTATATCAGCCGTAATAGTCACTGTTTACAAAACCACACTTCCTCCCCCAGAGAACTCAACTGAAATTAATTTTTCAGGAACCTATATAATGTCATCCACAGACAGACTGTTTCACTGTATCACAGCTCTTCAGTGTTGCTAGATGTCCGGTTTCCTCTAGCTAGATTGAAACCCGACTGAATTGACGTTAATCGGCGATTCTACCACTAAGCCATCAATCAGCGCACGGCAGGGATGAAGGTGATATCTTCACAAATAATATATATATATATATATATATATATATATATATATATATATATATATATATATATATATATATATACATAATATGTAATATATATCTTTTAGATATCATAACTAAACATCAGTTTTATAAATAAATAAGTTTTATTTAAATTTTCTTTCCTCAGCAGTACAATAGAATTCAGAATAAAAGAGAAAAATGTAACAATTAAAAAGAAACAACTTTTCAGAGGGTTATAGTTTAGGAGACCTCCATTTTTTTGTCATGACATAGAATTAATCTTATTGTTTAAATCAACAATTAACCCTGGCAAGTGGGGGATCATTTTATATTAGGTTCTATCAGTTTTGATAGGATCAAAATGAAACCCAAGTTGTGCTATGAGGATAACATACAAGACAAATAGTTTTAGTTACATTATCTTTTCTAATCATCAAGTAGAACTTGTATCTGAAAAATTATTATTTTCTTTTTAAATTGTTAATGCAACAATGACTCCCAAATAAAAGAATTATTCTTACAATCTAAAATAGGTTTTGGTTTTAAAGAACTCCCAAATAAACCATAAAAAACAAATCAAATAAGACTCAACATCAAGTGTCTTGAGGGGGTAGTGCTGCCCTTTGTCAAGAGAGTGGGAAGACCCTATGTCTAGCAATAGGACTCTGCACCATGACACACAAGCAGAAGAACCCAGTCATGGCTGTCATACAAATTCTGCAACCACATTACCCTTTACATCTGGCCACCTAACTCCCCAGACTGCAACCCCCTTGATTATTATGTGCGGGGTGCAGTTGAGCAAGAGACCAAGAAAATTCCTTGTAACACCAGGCTGCATTCTCCAACTTAAACAAGGAGACAATCCAGAAGAAATGCAAGAGATTCTGAAGGCTTGTAAGTGGGGTTTATCCCCACCAGCTGAGAATATGTTTTGGAGACAATTTTGTTTTTATTGCTGGCTGGCTGGCTGGCTGGCTTTGAGTTAGCCATACCAAAGACAAATTGGCTTTATTTGAACCCTATCCTTTTCCTTATCACTGCTTTTTTGCAATAATTATTGAAATTATACTATTGTTTTTTGGGTTTTTTTTTCACCTCTCTGTCCCCACCTTCCTAGCTATGCCACTGATTGCACCCTGTACATATCAATATCATGCCCATCATATTACATGTATTAACAATAGGGATTGTATTTGACACAGTTTCTAGGAATTGTATTTAACATGATCATCTAGTTTTGGATACAACAAAGCAAAAGAAACAAGAAGCCAGATGTTGTAATAACCATATCAACTTTACTGTTGGTGAAAAGCAGCTTATAGCTACATCACATTAAAACACCAGTTCCAGTATGATCACTGAAGTTAAGCAACATCAAGCCTGGTCAGTATCTTGATAAGTAACCGCTTGAGAATACCAGGTGCTGTAAGTTTGGATTTGCTGGTGGTGTAATGGACAATGGCTCAAAATTGTTAATCAAAGAGCTGAATTCCAATTCCAGTTGGGTTTGTTAAATTCACTTACATGCAAATATCCTTGGGAAAGGTAGAAATCCACCTTTTCTCCCCCTCAGCTATGATTTAAACTTGTATCACTAAACCACTATTACTTCTAAAGAAAATATTCTTATAATCTAAAAATATTTAAATAATCTGCAAAGCTGTAAAAAAAAAACAAATCAATCAACTGCTTCTCATGAAAATTTTCTGAACACAAATATGGAAGGTTGGATTAGACTTTTTCATCCAGAACACAGAAACCAAACTCAGGTTATTGCTTAGGACCTAAGTTGGAATCAGTTTTGTTGTCTCAGTGTGACCATTACCTTGGCATAATGTAATTCTTCTTCATTCCAAATTGTTATTTCTTTTAGTTCCAACTGTCTATTTAGGCACTAAACATGTCTATTGAGGACACCCATTTGATGCAGAAGTTTGAGGAAACTGTTGTTGTGTCTATTCTGAGATCACTGGGCTTCAGATGTCACTGCATCACAACTGCAAGTGCCCTATAGTCCAGACCCATTTTAAAAACAATGCTACCTATAAATCATTTGTTTTCAGGTCATGTATGTATATATATATATATATATATATATATATATATATATATATATATACAGAATTTGACAGTAAATAATCCATGGGGCTGATATGCCAGAAAACCCACTTTACCAAACCAAAACCACGCAGCAAGCTCTCCATACAGGAGTCTTTCCGCACATGCAGTGGATATGCCCAGTCCAGTTAAGCTACCTCAAAATTAGTGATTCACAGATTATTCTGCAATATTTTATTAAGTAGAACCAATGAATCAACCATTTTTATTTTAAAATGTCATGTTCCTTCAGAACATTATGTGGTTGATTAGCACAAATTTCTCTCTCATTATTGTATTGATTATATATTCTGTATCTTAATTATTGTATATGATTCATTCAAACTAATTTATTCATCTTTCCTGTTTGATTTGTTTTTTTTCTTACCATTTCATCTGTCTACTTTCCATTGTTGCCTATGACATTCTAAAATGTTGTCAAAAATTTTTTTTTCTATGTCAATAGTTTTACTTGATCTTTTTGTAAATATCACTTATTGAAAGAATTGTTTATTCTTATTTCCAGGAACAGTCAACTCTTGCTCTGAGAAAAGAAGGCCTCGGTGTAGTTTTAGATTCAGAGTTGCCTCATCTTATTGGGATCGATGATGACATTCTTAGCACGGGAATAATGCTTTATCATTTAAAGGTTTGAAATTGTTTTCTTTCATGATTTTGTATAAGGCTAAATTTTGTCAGTATACCCCCATCTTACATCAGTAGAACAAAAAAGCCCAGAGCATTAACACATAATCAAAGTTTCTTATTTTATTATCAGCCTTATGTACATATGTATATGTATATACAGGTTGTCGTCAATTTATATTCATGATTTGTTATGACAGTCAGGTCAAAAATCAGTCTATAATTAATTTTGCAATTTTTTTATCTTTAGGCAATACTGTATTTTTTATAATTTTTACAATTTCTTTAGATTTGAAACAATTTATGTCATCCCTCTACAGATTATTTTCTTTCTTATTTTTATGCTTGCCTGGTTTAATTCAAACACTCTGTCCTTCAAAATTATCAACACAGTAGAGTGTAATAACTTCAGGGCTCTTGATTGAGAATCTGTTTCATCCTGGAGAGCAAGTAACATAAATATGTAAATAATGATTTGTATTTTAAGTTGGATGTAAGTTCCACCACATTTTGTGTTAGGCTTTATGGTTACTATTTTCCCTTTGTTCATTATTTGTAATGACATTGCTGCACAAGCTACTGCTGATTGTTGCTGTTTAATACAGTCAAATGAAAGCATTTACTACTAATCCTCTTTAGAGGAAAGGGAAAATGAGCTTTCAACCAATAGCACATGAGAGAAAGAAAGAGCAAACAATCCTACACATGCTTCAAGCAAAGACTAAAACAATATCGTCAAGCAAATTTGAATACAATTTAACAACAATGGTGACAATTGAAAGACAAAAGTTATTTTCAGAAGGTTTACAGAGAGTTTATAAAGAGTCTAGAGAAATAAAGTTTGAGAAAACAAGCATCCATTTATATACAGAGGCATGAGTGTGTGTGTGTAATATATTTATGTATGAATACATGTGTATGTGTATTTATTTATGGGTAGAAGTAACTTACTTAGGAAGTTCCTTTTTCTGCCATTGACAGGGTGAACAGAGTTACTAAGAAGCCAAAAATGCTATGAAAAATTATTCTTCAAGAACTTTAGAACATCTGAAAAAAATAAAACAAAGGAATATATCTAAAAATTTAATACAACCATTAAACTAACAGAATCAATGATGTAGTTCTTGAAAAAGAAGTTGTATTTTAGTGCCAACTGCATTTGAACCCACAGTATATAAATATGGTTTTAGCTTTACTTATAACTGCCCACTGATGCTACCATTACTCTACTATTCCCCAACTTTAAGTGTTGTTTTTTTTTCTATACTCACAAACTGTTTCCGGTAGGAGAATGAGTGGGGGGTATGCACTGTACTTTTTATTTGCAACTTAAAATTTGAGAAAGTCTCAACAGCATGTTGTGCATTGAAAATAAAAAATAAAAATAAAAAGGATTGTCTCTGGTCAGTAATTATTACAAGAGTTAATGACAAAAATTCCTGATGGAATATATATAACGTAAATGTGTTACTTATGATTTTCTATAGAAAAAGAAATAATTTTACTGTAGATGTGCATTGAAAATCAAGAAGAAAGGGATTGTCATTGGTCAGGAAATAATACAAGTTTTTAATGACAGGCATGCTAGTGCATTTATATATATAATTGGATTATCAACATACCTCTTCTTTTTTTTGTAGGCAGGTAAAACAACAATTGGCAGAGGAGATGCTGAAGTGCCTCAGGATATTGGTAAAATATTTTTAATTGTCTTTGGGAAAAAGGGTGGCATTAAAATATCCCTCACATTGTAAAGATAAAATAACTCTCATATATATATATATATATATATATATATATATATATATAGAGAGAGAGAGAGAGAGAGAAAAAAAACGAGAGATATGAAATAAATCTTATGAATTTCATATTTCTTGTTTAACTTTTTGTTCTACAGTTATCATTTCTTGTACTGGTGACACCAGGTGACAGTGTCTTTGTTATAAGAGTAGCAAGACTATTCAAAGATCTTTAAAATGTTTGGTGGTGAAGAGACTGAAAAAGCAGGTTGAAATGATAATAGTATAAGTCCCCAGGCTACGACAGTACTGAAGTATGACGATTTGTTGTTACAACTCAATCTCCATTAATCTTGTCTTGACTTAAGCCATTTGTCTTGTATGTACAAATGGTGAATTCCTGACAAAAAGGATAAACAAACTCACATTTGTTTTACTTTCTTTCCCAGATTTGCTGCTGCTTCTGAATACTGCAAGAGAGACAAATTCTTTTACTTCATTATTTCATCAACCGAGAGCCAATGACATCACTGGCAATGAATATACAGTTTAAAACAATTTCATTATATGTATTATATTTATGTCTTACGTGTTTTTTTTTAGTTATATATATTAACATATACCATAGAAATGTTTTGTTCTGTTCTAGATTATTACTTTATTATTGCATTAACATAGGTGAGTTATGTAAGTGCTTATTCATGAAAAATCTTAGGTATGTACTGCCTTACATGGAAAATTGCATTATGATGCATCGTAGGAACAGAACTCTGTCATAAGTCAAGGATTTCCTGCAATTACTTGCAAATGTGACAAATTTAATAGCACTTAATAAAAATATGCTATCATTTTTATAGCATTGGTAAACTAGTTATTTATAAATAAAAAGTGAATATTTGAAATCACTAATGACTAAACTTGCAAACAATAATGGAAGTCATACAAATAGAGAAAGTAGTATTTGTAATAATTAAACAATGATATCAAAGTGAAAACTAGTTATAATTTACTTATGCCTTTCCTTATATTCATTTTAGAGGTCAAACATTGCCACTATTAACCCATCATTTTGGGGAGGGGCTTGTTTTGTAATAGTTTTCAATACAATAAAAAGGGAATTGCTATGCAGAGTTTAAAGACGATTTTGTTTGCTTTGCACTAATACCCTAAAATGACCAACAGTACATTTTTATAGCAAAATGACAATCAATACATTTTATAGTAAAATTGCAGACATGGCATATTGGCATACATTGTCAAAAAAACTAAAAAAACAATTTGCTATAATTAATCTCATTTCTTGTAAGGTTTGTTTTTTGTAAGATTAATTGGTTAAAAAAAATGCAGATAAGTAATTTTAATTTAATCATGAAATAATGTCATTCTCTTAATTATAAAGTTTGAATTTTCATATTTAGATTTCAGCCTTAAATAACCCATAGAGGTGTTGATATGCCGCTAAACCAAAACAACCAAACCAATCTTAATGAATTTCTACCCATCAAGCAAGGTCACCTCCACATTTTATAGACCGGCCTCTTTAATCCGGCACCTGCCCACTGCTGAGCCACAGAAAATGCCAAATGACAGAAATCATCCCTACAAAGACCCTATGTAAACTTAGTCTTGCCAGCTCATGTCACATATATATTGCTATGTTATCAAAAATAAAATGATCATTAATGCTTTCAAACAAGATTTCTATTGTTTCATACAATGCAAAGGCTTAAAGAAGCCTAAAACCCCCAAATAATCTATATTTATCATAAGTAATAGACCTATAGGGAACCTGTAGCTCAAACTGTAAATAATAGTGTATGTACTGTACAATAATTAATGCTTCCAAAGGAGGTATATTTTTATACAAAGACTTTTTTAAAAAAAAGTCTAAATCCAAAAAATAATCTATACTTACTATACTTTTAGTAAACCTATAGAGAACAGGAAATAATAATGTATGTACTGTACAATAATTAATGCTTCCAAACAAGGTTTTTATTGTATGATGCAATATAAAACTGCAAACTTAAAATTAAAACAACAATGAACTAATGGCAGCTGATTCAAAAAAAGTGCTGGACTATGGAAGTTACCAAACTACGAAGTGCCGGATTAAAGTGGTTAGACTATACTCATTACAGTCATTCTTAAATATTAAGTGACTGAGGAGGTCGATATGTCGTAAAACACAAACAAACAAACAAAATTAAATATTAAGACATTTATGATATTTTTCTCTTTCTTTACAGTGCTGGCCGGAGTTGAGGTTCAACCTGAACATTGTGTAATAGAGAATGAAGATGGCATTGTAACTCTCTATCCAATAAACAATGCTCTGTGTACAATCAATGCTGTAAACATCCAAGGCTCAGCCAAATTGACTCAGGGTGAGTTATTTAACTCTTCAACACCTGAAATAAGTTCCAGTCTCAAAGCAATACAACAAAATTCTAAACTTTGAAGCTGTTCCTTGTTACAGATAAATCTTACAATAATGTGCTATTCTTTTGTAAATTGTAATTCCTTATATATATTTTTGGTTATTATAACAAGTGAATATTGGCATAATATTGTCTTTTATGTGTATGTCTTTAATATTGTTTATGCTATGTTACTTTGAATTGAATGTCACAGAGATGAAAACAAATCCAAACCAACAACATACTGAAGATTTAAGGTACCTGATTTCATTCTGTCAGCTCTTCTCCCAGGTTTCCTTTTATTTACTTGTCCTCAACCAGTAATTACCTGGCAATATGCTGGGGAAGTTGAAATTAATATCAGCTCAAGCCCCAGGGAGAGCATTACCTCTCTTTTTGGAGAGGACTAAGATTATTATCTGGTATCTGAATATTGGAGGTACCTTTATAAAATCAACATGAACCAATTTTTCAAGAATTTGGACTTCTTTGAAATCTCTTTTCTCCTTTCCATTATTTGATAGGTGCTGTTATTCTACTGGGTAAAACCAATATGTTTCGGTTCAACCATCCTGCCGAGGCTGCAAAGATGCGAGAAGAATTAAAGAGTGTAAGTAACTGGTTTTGTCCAAATCTTCATCGCATGATTCTCAGTCTGTTTATTTCTCCACAACCTATTCATATCTATTTCAGCTCCTTTATTTCTTTCTTTAATTGAGTTCACCCCTAGCAAAGCAGTAAAGCCACTGAGACAGAAGAGGTTACTGTGTGTGGAAGAGCTAGAAATAGGAACATTGCTAGGGAGTGAGAACAAAGGAAGAGTAATCAGAAGGGACAGTACATAGGGATTTTCCACAAGCAAAAAGTGTGATAAAAGAAATTATTAGCATCGAATTTTCAGTTACATCTAGCCAGCTCAACTGTAAATTGGTTAGACCTCATTGCCAGTCTAGTACAGCACTTCAAAGAGTCTAGGCACCATAGCAAAGAGCTCATCTGAACAATTACCATGAAAGTATTTATAGAAAAGGGAAAAGAAAGACAACCTTATGGTGATGCAAAAATGACAAGCCAAGATGCCAGATTAGGGCCAATAATATTGCTGATTCTTCTTTGGATTTTATCAAGGAGCTCCAGACCATATGACTGAATGGTAGACTTATAGAAATAAAAAAGATAGACTCTGGAGAGAAAAATTGTCTAGCATGACACAGTGAAGTAACCTTCCTATCAGCTGATCTAGCAATGGATTCAATATAGTCTTTCCACTTCATATCAGATGAGAGCATCAGCCCAAGGAAGTGCAAACAGAGTTCTCTCAGATTGTTGTAACTTTGGGAAGGTTACTGAATAGAAAAAATCAAACAAAGGTTGATAATGAACAATAATACTTAGGACAAGAACAATACATACAAGATTCATCAGCAGCACATAAAAGTAGTCAACTGCTAGAAGTGAGTCAAATGAATTTCGCAATGAATCTCCAACTCTAGACAACATACAGTATTCACTACTGAATTTATGGGAATGGGGGCATACCCATTATCATCCGTAGGTATGCTACAACACAGATGATTAATAGAAAGCAGTTTAGTTTTGGAAGCATTGATTTCAGCCTGTTTTTATCTATTTGATCGCACTGATGTCTATTCATATCACAGGTTCTACCTATTGAAATTTGTTTATATTTTCAGAACCTGTTCATATCTACCATTTTTCTGCCTATTTCAGCTTCTTTGGATCTTTCAATCTCTATCTGTCATGAACTGGTCATATCTATTTCCCTCTGGTTATCAACTTAGATTGCTACAATGTCTGTCATTACCTGTAACTACCTTAAAGTAAAAAAAAAAAAATGTATTTGTATATATTGTTGTGGTAATGAAAGAGGTATGTGTTGTAGACTGAAAACACCAGTTTGCATTCGATCAACAAATTTAAGCAGTGTCAAGCCCAGATTAGCAACCTCTTACAATCTGAAATATATTTCGACTTTAAGTAACTGTTATGGCCCGGTTCCTTGTACCCTGGTGATAGTCCAAGGTAGGACCAATAAAGAAGAACTCGAACACAGATATGGAATAACACAAATATATTACAAACAGGAATATATACAGAGAAGTAGAAAGTGTTAGTACAAACAATTAAGTTTAGTAGTACTTGTCTGAATGCGACTCTGTTACAGACTGCCTCTGATTCGACTGACTGACTGACAGACTCCTGACAGACTTCACTCTAGACTTCAGACGGAACTCCCTGCTTCCTCTTGAGGCACAGTATTTATTACGTATGGAATAGTCCATTATGTTATTATGGGTAAGGTCCCATAACAGTAACCCACAAAGGTTTGATAAGCCATAAATACAAATTAACTAATTATGTGCCCTAGACCATATCCAGTTTAATGAAAGAAAGGAATATTAGGTGAAAGGGAAAAGGGGAATCCAATTAAAAAAAAAAAATCATCATATTCCACGATTGTAATATTGTTTAAATTTTAAATAAAATAAAAATTCCATTTTTATTCTAATCAATGTATCATCATATAATCAATATGCAAATTTTAATTATTTGCAATATGAAATATATTTGCAGACAATAAATATACCTACATTTATTTATGCTTTTCGTCTTTGATCAGTTGCTTTTGGGAAATATAAGATTCAAAAATTTTTCAGCTTTAAATAACCCACAAAGGGTAGATAAACTGTAAAACAAATGAACCAATCAATTTGTGATAAAAAAACTATAGCACAAAGTAAAAGGTTTGGTAGTTTAATAAAATGGGAACAGAGAGAGAACTTTGTCTTAGATTGGTGCTAGGGTGGAGAAAATGTTGAATTAGAATATTTATTTTTCTTCAGCTAATTAATGCACATATTATGAGGGTTCTGTAGCGTCTCATTTCTAAGAATCTAACCATTTGAAATTAAATTCTACAGAATCATCCTCATCATCTCTTATGTAGTGTGCATCACAAATGATGCAGTGCAAGACACCATCAAAGACACGAAGCAGGCTGGAAGACTTTATATCCGCAGTCAAGAAAAGGAAGTTGAAATGTTATGTACATGTTATAAGAATCAAGAATCATTCTACTGCCATCCTATAAGGTACCACCTTTGGTAAAAGAAGAGAAAGCAGACAGAAGAAAAAAAAATGGGCTGACAATGTCATTGAGTGGACTGGAAGATCATTTATAGAGACCTTGGCATGCAACTGAGATATAAGGAGGGAGCTGGTCAGGTGCTTAGCTGTGCATCAACCCTATGAGCACATTCAATCATTGGACGAATGAGGATGAATTAACGCGCTTCAGTTTTGAGAAACTTATAAATATATTTTATTCCAGTGGGTATCATTTGAAGCTTCATAGTTAACAACCTGAAATGGAAATATTTAATGTTTTTGAGAAAGGGAAATTATTTAAGTATAACATTTCAGAGATATTTTCTTTTAAGGAATCTATCATGATTTTCTTTTCTTTTTTAATATTAATGCAAACAATGAAAATTATTTGACTTCAATTCTAATAAATATATTTGCAATGAAAGTATTCTTGAAATAAAATTTAAATTTTGGACATATGAAGAAGGGTGTAAAATGGACAAACTAAAAGTTTTTCCTATTTATTTTCTCTTCAACAGGAGTAGATCGGTTTGCCTATTGTACTGGTTCACATTCCTCCCTCATTTTTTGAACAGGAGTAGAGGTTTATCCCTTGTTTCCTGTTTAGGATAGGGTTTCCAGTTCCTTTTAAAGTCTTCTCATTCTCTTTCTCTCCCTGTAGCCCCTTTGCATCTTAATGGTATTATTACCTTTCTTTTTGTGAATTGATTATTCATGGTTTATAAGTATAAACCAATAATTAAAACTTTTTCTTTTACCTGAAATACTGGATTTTTATTTGAATTTTTACAATGATGACTGGAATATACACAGTGTCCCAAAGGTCACACAACAATTGGCAGAAACTATACACATGTGAAATAGCAACCAAGGAAAATTTGCACAACATTATCTTCTATAATTCAAACAATAAAATTTCTTAATAATATATTGTCACATACAGAAACAAGATTCCATTTGGTAAATAAATATAAAATTTCTAAGGTTATCAACGGTAATGTGACTTTTGGAACCTCTGCATGGTGGGCCTTATTGGGTTATTTTTTTACAAGCAAAGCAATAAAGAAATTAAGATGCAAAGGGTTACTAAGTGTGAGAGAACATGAGAAAAGAAAACATTATTAAGGAGTGAGAACAATAAAAGAATGTGTTCATCTGGTTTTCACACATCCACATGTTGAGAGCGCCTTCTTTTAATAGCCCATTTTGTAGGGGACACAATTCCTAGTGCTTATAGCACCACATACGACCAACTCAGAGTCTTTTATTGAGCTGATCTGAAGATACAAAGAACAAGAGTTAAGAAGGTGGAAAATAACAATTTTTGAAGATCAAATTTGACTAGGAATCAAGAAGCCAGAAGACATTTCTACAAATGAGAAGTGTAAGGGAAGAAACTATTAGCATAAAGTTAGTTACAGTTCCGTCTAGCCATTCCAACTAAAATGATGCAACGTAGCTGCCAATCTAGTACTGTACTTAGATTCATAAAGCCTATGCACCATAGAGAAAAGTTCATCTGAACAATTACCATGAAAGTATTTATAGAAAAGGCACAGAGAAACTATGTTCAAGTGGTGGGAAAGTGACTGAAGTGCAAGATGACAAGTTAGGACCAATAACATTGCAGATCCTTTTTGAGATTTTATCAAGAATCTCTAAATATATAACTGGAGCACCAAACCAGATGTGGCAGCAATATTCAAAGCAAGGATGAATGGTAGACTTATAAATATGTAAGATAAATTCTGGCAAGAAAAATTGTTTAGCACAACACACTGAACCAACTTTCCTCGTAGCAGATTAGGCAATTGATTCAATATTATCTATTGGTTCCAATCACTATAGGAATGACTGCAAAAATATCCACCTCCCCAAATTTACAAACAAACTGTACAGATGCATTCTGGCCCATCTTCCTAGCCAATAAGATAGGCCACTTCTCAGTCTCCTCTGCCATATTTCTGTTCTTTCTTGTCTTGCAGTCAGAATGCTGCAATCACTTATCTGTATCCTTTTTTTGTGTTAACAACATTCTTAATTTGTGACCCCTTTTTGCCTCATTACTCTTGTTTTGCCTACTTTTGTGTTGTATATATTGTTTGCTTAGTATTAGTTTTGCCTTGTAATTTTATTTATTTATTTATTTTTTTGTTTATTACAAACTTTTTAATTCTGTTTGTTTGGGCATTTTTGCTAATTACATTTAACTATGACCAATTACTCTACATAATCTTTCCACTTCATGTCTGCAGAAAATGTTAGTTTGAGAAAGTCCAATGAATCACTCTCTGGGTGGTTAGCATCAGCCATGCTCATGAAAGGCATTTTTTATTTTATTTTTTTCCCCTTTTTTTCCCTTTTTTTTTTTTCCCCTTTTTTTTTTTTTTTTTTTTTTTTTTTTCTTAGCCTGAAAATTATTACTTGATTTTTATTTGAATTTTTATAATGACTACTGGAATATATAGTGGACATTATTCAGTCAATTTATATATATATATATATATTTTTTTTTTTTTAAGTGCAATCTGAACTTCTCTCAGATATCTCTCCTGAGTCAGTCAATGACTGATCTATACCGATCAACTGACAGTCTTAACATGGGGTAAGAATAATTTTTTTCTTTTATAAAATCATTCTAACATTTATTGTTACCTTTTCCAACTATATATGACTTCTGTCTGGAAAGGCTGACACTCATATCATGTTCAAACATCAATTCCTATATGATCACAGAAGTTAAGCAATGTTGACTCTGTTCAGTACCTAGATTGCTGACTGCTTAGGAATACCAGGTACTGTAAACTTGGATGAGTGGGTGGTGTAACTTATAAAAGCTTCAAATTGGAAATCAGAGAGTCAAGGTTCCAGTCAGGTTTATTATATTCACTCATGTGTAAATATCTTTGGAAAAGGTAGGAATACACTTCTTCTCTCCCCCTCCAACCACCAATTATGAGTTAATTAGTAGGACTTGTATCAGTAAATCATTATTATCTCCAAAACATTCTTGCAATCTAAAAGTATTTTTTTGCTTTTGGATAACCTGCAAAAGGTTGATAAGCCATAAAAAAAAACAAAAAAAAAACAAATTAATCAATTCTGTCTGGAAAGCATTCATCCATTTAATCTTAATGAAAAAATAACTTATTAAGGGCAATGATGGCTTGCTCCTTTAAGAACTTCCACATTTATCCCTTTCATTTTTCAAGATAATCTGAAAAAGTCCTCTTTCAGGATTGCCGGCAACTGCCTCATTGTATTCTCCTAAAGCTCACCTGAAATTTCTTCTTTTAATGAATTAGGAAAAGCTAGGAATCCCAGGGAGCTGAATCAGGGACCATAGCAAGGCTGAAATGCCCCTACCCCAATCTTATGGGAAGAGTGAGCAAGTGCACTGTCATGATGAATACAGCACACAGTATACAAGCTCACTCAGTCTCAGTTATTCCACAGGAGAATTTATGTTCACATATGTACAATGAAGACCTGTCTGACTGGTTTAACATATATATATATATATATATATATATATATATATATATATATATATATATAACAAAACTTGTTCTTGAGATATTACAATTGCCTGAATACATTTTGGACCTATCACACATACACATGTATGTGTATATATATATATATATATATATATATATATATATATATATATATATATACACACACAGAACACTTGCTTGGGGGACCATTGATAGCTGTGCTAGCACAAAGTCACAAGTCATCGTGACCAAGGATTTCAGTGCTGGCTTTGTACAAATTGTTGATCACTCTAGATAACACTCTCTCCCAGAAACTGTAACTAAGGTCTGCTCAGCATAGTTACAGCATAAACCACAGGTGGGCTCTGTTGGTGTTGAGCAAACACAAATGTGCCTGAGCAAGCATCTGAATTACAGATTGACTAGCCACCCTAGTAGACAGGTATCCTTGAATACAAGTGGCCAGCTGTTATATATATATATATATATATATATATATATATATGTTCAGCTACTACTCATTTCTGAGTGTAGTTGTCTGCCATGGTGGCTATCCAAATTGTATTATGGAGACCTACTCTGGTGTTTAAGCTGCATCTATACTGAGCAAAACTTAATGCCATTCCACCTACTTTCCAAGATTGTCCAACTCAAAAGGTGTATTCCAAATAATATGCATATATTATTGAAAATCTCCATTGTTCTGACTTATGATGAAAAAGGTGCATTGGGTAAGAATTGTTGAGAACCATTCTTCTGTATGATCAAATTGTGGTGAACTGGAAAAAATCCCTTACCTAAAGAATTTATGGTCTAGTTAATTACTGCCTCACATATGGTAATTTTTTTATCCTCCTAAACTACTGTGACCCATCAAAAATTTTAACCTCCCAATAAAAGAAGTGTGTGTATTTTTTGGTTCATGAGTGAGAGTGAGTTTGCCGTTAGAATCTGTAAGTTAAATTTTTGACCCTATTTTATTTAGCCTCTTTGACTTTTAATTTCTGATTTCTATTCTCATTTCCTGCCTTTTGGATTTTTGAGACTAGATTTAGACTTTTTCACCGCCCTTGTTGTTTTGGACAGATTCACAAATACGATGATTTATAGTCTTTCCAATAATCTTTCAATACAAATGAATCTTGCTTCCTTTCTTTCCGCCCCAACATGTCTGTTTTCTTAAGCTATACTTTCATTTTTGATTTTTAGAGCTGATTTTGAAACAATGCATCGCCAGGAACTCGAAATGTTGGAAGAGAAGAGGTGAGACTAATTTTATATTCAGTAAATTCACACTCTTAGGGAATCACTTTAAGTAGTATGCCTGCCTGGTGGCACTAGTTACAGATTTGCTTTAGTCAAAAGTACATATTTAATACTAGCAGTAGAGCCCGGCGTTGCCCGGGGATGTAACAGTAAGAGATAAATCAAGTATCAACCATCATAAAGACTGAAAAATAAAATTGACAAAGATTATTGTTTAAGGTTGATGGACACGCATGTCTCAATTAGTTTTTTTTTTTTTTTTTTTACGAATTGGTCAAACCCAAACTCAAACAAAAACATTGTTTTCAATCGTTATGAGTCTACTGATTGAATAGAATTTTATTATAAACAATTGCCTTGTAAATGGAATTTTTAAAGCATTCTGAATGTAAAAATAAAGAAAAAAGTGTGCAAGACAATAAGAAACACTACCTGCCAAAAAAAGTTTTGTTGAAATCGGTTGAAAAATGTAGGAAATCCGATCCTATATATAAACGAACACACACACACACACACAATCTGGATTTTATAATAAGTATAACTTGATATGAGTTGTCCCCCTTTCATTCTCGCGATGCCTCTTAATCGTGTTTTCAAATTGATTTTGTGCAAAAACAATTGTGTTTTTCCAATTTTTGGCGCTGTCAGAACCACTGCAAGGTAATTTTACGTAGTCCTGTGAAGTTTTGTTGAAATTGGTTGAAAAATGTAGGAAATTCGATCCAATATATAAACGTACAGACACACACACAGCCTGGGTTTTATAATAAGTATGATACTGAATTTCATAAATGTAACATCTTATATTTGCTTGACGATTGACACACAAAAATCTTTTCAACAAAACACATTTGAATATTATCTTGAATTTTTGTTAGATGAACTATTGTCAGTCATTGTTAATTTTGTTTACAATTATTTCTTCTTAATTTTAGTCTGTTTTCATTGAAAACCACTCTGCTTTCATTCTATGGTCACTAGTAAACAAATAGTAATATTATCTTGAATTTTTATTAGATGAGGCTTACAACCACATCACATTGAAACAGCAGTTCCTGTATGATCACTGAAGTTAAGTAACATCAAGTCTGGTCAGTACTTAGATGGGTGGCCACTGGGAATATCAGATGCCATAAGCTTGGATGTGCAGGTGGTGGATGGATAATGGTTGGCAAGTGTTAATCATTGAGCATAGTCCCAATTCCTGTTAGATTCATTATATTCACTTATGCATAAATACCCTTGGGAAAGGTATGAATCCACCTCTTTCCCCGCCAGCTATGGGTTAATTAATAAGACTTGTATCACTAAACCATTTTATCTAAAAATAAAAAAAAATTTTACAATCTAAAAATATTTTCTGGCTTTAAATAACCTGCAAAGGGTTGATAAACCATAGAAAATGAATGAAGGAATTAATCAATTTTATTGGATGAAGTATTGTCAACTATTGCTAATTTGTTTTTTTTGTTTTTTTTTACTAGTATTTCTTTCATCTTCATTTTTGTTGATTTTTATTGCATCCACTCTATGGCTATTAGTAAACAGCATGGATCAGATATAATATCAGATTATTACATCCACTTGTTATTGATATTGTTATATACCATACCTATGAACACTAATGGGTATGATTATTTACCTGCTGTCCCACGCAGCAAGATGTGGCACAGGGCTGAGTTTTAAAGTGGGGTATCTGAGCCCGTAGGCTCAGGCAAAAATTACCTATAGACCAATTAAAAATGGAGTCAGTTTCCCAAGATGAGACTCTGCCCTTCGGCAGAGCCTCGTCTGGAGGATACCCTCTGACATGTGCCAGGTAACACTAATGGGTATGTTCAAATCCTCATAAATACATTGGACACTATTGTCTAAGTAGTCCACGATTAGCAGTGGTTTAACTACTTCCCACTGCTAGCAAGTATTGTATTTTGTTGATGTTATAAAGACTACCATTTCATTTCCAACCTCTGTTTTGGCTATTCCTCATTCAGTAACCCTTGCTAGGTTACAGCAGATATAATTTTCAGATTATTGCATCCACTCTATGGTTATTAGTAAACAGCATGGATCAGATATAAAATTGTTAAAATCATATTGAAAAATACAAGTTTGTCTTTCCAAAATCTTGTACTTTATTTTTGATCTTCTCTAATAGCCATAGAATGATAATTTGAGTGGTTGCAATAAAAGTCCATTCAAATTAAGATGATAGAAATACTAGTAAAAAATGAATAACACTGTTTGCTCCACATATTCTTCCTTTTACAAGCTTGCCTTGATAAAGTCTTTAATGAATGGTGCTATACATTCATTAAATAAGCATTTTTAAAATATGCTCTATTGATGACAGTAAATTTTTGAAGTTCAAATACAAAAAAAAGACTGGAATTGCTATAACATTTTCTCTCATCTTTCAACTTCAGTAATCATTCATAAAATTTGTCTTGTTCCATATCATCAGAAAAGAATTGTTTCAGTTGAAAATTTACTGATTTCACTGGTCAATTTGTTTGTGAGTTTGTAGTTTGTTAGGAACTTACAAAAAGTAGCCTTGTGCCAGATTTGATATTTTCTAAGGTAATCTATACTTAGGTAATTTATACTTGTACTATGTTTAAAAAATAGTCCAGAAGCTCATCTGCAGAATCATTCAATGATTTTCTTCTAAAGTTATTAAAATTTACTGTTTTATTAAATATCGATATTGTTGATTTTTTTTTTTTTTTACCTAACCTCATATTCTGAATATACATTTTAAAAATCTAAATAAAAATTAAAAAGCATTATACTTTTTAATCTATGAAGTTGTTATAAACAAAAAAGTGTTTACTTCAATTTCTTTCATAAAAGGAAAGAATATAGAAAAAAAATCACTTAACATATTGACTGCCAACCACAAGATAATTCTGAGTTGGCATCATAATAGGAACAGCCAATCATGAGTTATTTTATGCTGACTACAAGTTATCTACACTATTTACATTATTCAAACTGTTTTCCTCATCTTTTTTACCATATTTATCACAATGTTTCGGCCATTGTATGCTCTGGCTTTCTTCAGGTGGTTAGAATGTCAAACTGAACCCTTTATTTTGCTCGCTGGGGTAGACTGTTCTAGTTCCACGTGCCATGTCTAATGGATGTCAGTTATCAGTTATCTCCTGTTAATTCCCCTCTCCAAGGACACATGGCACAATGGATAAAGGTGCTAGTTAGATCCAGTGACAGGACCCAGAGAGTGTGAGTTCAATACCTAGTTAAGGCAGTGGAGAACATAGAGGGGGGATATTTCAGTACATATGCTTTTTACATGTAATAGATTATAGCATAAGTTATTTAAAGTGATATAATAACCTTTATTTTCTGTTCAGTTAAGTGTGGAGCAAGGTTATAAGGAGCATTACTGCTTCAGAGCCTGGATGTTAGATAATCTCTCATAGTTGCTATTTTAAAATTAGAATAAACCTCAAAAGCAGTAATTTTTCTGGATTGATTTTGACTTCTTTTTTATTTCCATGTCCTTTAAGGATGTAGACAATCTTGGCTCTTCAAAGATTTCTTTCTTTCATTATCTGTCAGTTGCCATGACTTTTTGGGGAAAGATGGAGTGATTTTTCATTCCTTTTTCTATGATTTTGAATTTAAAATACTACTGCTCAATGCTAGAGAACTCGGCCTACCCTTCTATTTAACCCATAGCTGGAGAAAGAAGATATCAATTCATGCAATGAAACTGCTATAATTAACATTAAATTTCTAACAACAATTTTATTTATGGTATCTATATTTGGAGTTGTAAATTCAATGAGTTTTTTAAGTTTCACAGAGCCTTCAGACAGCCCAAATTATAGTAGTTCTAGGAATTTTGGTTTGTCATGTGTTGTCCTCAAATTCATTAATATCTTCTCAGCATGTATTGTGCATGTGTTTTTGTTCTGTGCATGCGTTCGCATGTTCTTCCTAAGATACAGAACAAGTTTTCATGTACAGACTGTGGTTAAAATCTGACATGTCAAAAAACTGCATCAGTACACTCTATTCACTTATATATATATATATATGTATCAAACAAAATTATAAATTTTACTGGCTCTGAATACAGTCTTTGTTTGAAACTTTTAATAAAAAAATATAATAAGATGGAATTCATACGACATATTTATGATATAATTATAATAAATTTACCAGCATAAGTTAGTACCAGTTCTATTGTAAAAATGTCAACTTACATAATACAGTCTGATGTGGTGTAGGTTAAAGTATATACTATAAGACTGTCAGTTACTTTCTAATAACAGGTGCTGTAAGCTTGGATATGCAGGTATTGTAAGCTTGGATATGCAGGTATTGTAAGGGATAATGGCTTGAAATTATTAATCAGAGAGCAGAGTTCCAATTTCCATTGGGTTTGTTATATTCGCTTACTTGCAAATACCCTTGGGAAAAGTATGAATTCTCTTCTTCCTCCCAACTATGGATTAATTAGTAAGACTTGTAACACTAAATCATTATTATCTAAAAAAGAAAAAAGATTCTTACAATCTAAAAAAGTATTTTCTGGCTTTAAATAACCTGCAAAGAGTTGATAAGCCGTACAAAACAAATCAATCAATCAATCACTTTCTAATACGCTACCTTTTTCCAGGTTCTTACCTAGGTAAGTATTTAAGCAAAATTACTACACATTCCCTCTTTGCATTTGGAATCTTTTATTTGTTTTTTTTAAGTTTCTTTGTTTTTCCAACACCTTTCCATATTTTTCATTCTCTTCCTTTCCCTTGTATTTTCTTGATTATTTTTTTTAACACCTTCAGCGCCATTGTGTAGAACTTAGCAAAAGCCTGTTTAAATGAAGAATAAAACAATAGAGCCTCCCCAGAGATTAACTAGAATCACTGGAAAGCAGGTATTAGATTTGGTTGTGTGCAGAAGACAACATGAACAAATTTCAAAAAGGGGATATTTATTAATGTGGTTTGCATAGAAAACAGCAA